AGGAATCAAATGTACAATAAATAGGTTTGTCAATGATACTAAATTAGGAAGAGCTGTGGACTCTCTTGGGGGTAAAGAGGTCCTGCAGAGAGATCTGGAGAGCTGAGCCATCACCGACTGTATGAAATTTAACTGAATTCTCCTTGTGGGACACAGTAATCCTGGTTATTCATACAAATTGGAGGATGAGAGATGGGAGAACAGCACTGTGGACAGGGACCTGAGGGACCCTGGCAAGTGGAACATGAGTCAGCAGTGCCCTGGCAGCCAGGAGGGCCAAGCACGTCCTGGGGTGCATCAGGAACAGCATCACCGGCCAGCCAAGGGAGGGGATTGTCCTGCTCTGCTTTGCATTGATGTAACCTCACCTGGAGTGCCAGGGGCAGTTTTGGGTGCTACAATAAATGAAGGATATAAAGCTATTGGAGTATGTCCAGAGGAGGCTGACAAAAGTGGTGACAGGTCTCAAAGGCAAGACCTAGGAGGAAGTGGCTGAGGTTGCCTTGGTTTATTTAGCTTAGAGAAGGCTGGAGCATGACCTCATCACAGTCTACAGCTTCCTGAAGGCAAACAGTGGAGGGGAGGGGCTGATTGCCTCCCTCTGGTGACCACCTCCAGGACACAAGGAAATGCAGTGAAGCTCCACCAGGTAAGTTCAGATTAAACATTAGGTAAAGGTTCTTCACTGAGAAGGTGGCTGACCACTGGAACAGGCTCCCCAGGGAAACTGGTGATGGTACTAAACCTGCCAGAGTTCCAGGAGCATCTGGATGCTGCTCTTAGTTGTATGGCTTAGTTTTAGTTAGTCCTGTGGGGAGCAGGGATTTGGAGTTACTGATCATTATGTGTCCCTTCCAACTTGAGATATTCTGTGATTCTAAGTCTATGGAAGCTGATGGGATGCATCCCCAGGTGAGGGAGCTGGCCAGTGTGGTGGCAAGTTCCCTTGGAGTGGAAGAGTGTCTCTGACAGGACTGAGGGAGAAGATCCTTCCCTTCTACTAAGCCCTCAGCCACATCTGGAGTGTTGTAGGCAGTTCTTGGGTTTCCCAGTATGAGACATGGATGTACTGGAGTGAATCCAGAACACAGTTCCTAAAAATGATTAAAGGATCGAAACACTTGAGAAGATACTGAGAGGCTGTTTAGCCGCCAGGAAAGAAGGCCTGGGAAGGAGTTTTATCAATGTATATAAATATTTGCCCAGTTGGACAAGGCCCTGGACAACCTGCCTCTGCTGTGAGCAAAGGGTTGGTTGGAATAGATGACAGCCAGATAAATTCTGTAATTAAACCATGATTTTTAGAAAAGTCCTGCATTTACTTTTTATAGTGTAACCCAATCAAACTCATACTGCACTGCAGGTGATGTGAGCAGGAAGTCTAATGTGTATCTCCTTTACTCTGTCAAGCAAGATTACTCTAGAGCTGATCAAGCTGGAATACCTCCAGTTTTCTACCTGTCACTTAGTGCAATTTCCATTTTGCGGTAAATTTCTGGTAAAGTTTATTGAAAATCTGCAAATTTCTTGCAGTCTCCAGTTCTGTAACTTTTCCTCTGATCCTTGAGCATAAAGAAGGAAAACACGATTTTGAATGTTAGTATGAAATTCCCTCAGGGTGGTGCAATTTCATAGGCAATTAAAAGCTGCATTAGAGTGGAAAGACAAATAGGCCTGTTACTGACAGCCTAAATGCAGAAGAAAATGACCCCTTGCATCCCAGCAGTATGATGGCTTTGCAGACTGAAATAAACACACATCACCCTGAATAAACTGTGAAATTCAGCCTGTTTTATTTAAAGAATGGTGGTTTTATTTTTATATTGCACTTGGCATTTCCTGATTTAAGAGCTGCAAGCTGTCTTCTGCCTACCACATGTTTCTGTTTGTAGTTCTGGCATTTGTATAACCCAGTGGTAGAAACTGTCATCCAGTTTCTAACTCACTATACATTAAACATAGCAGTCAGAAGGATCCTAGCTCCAGACAATATGTTTTGCACACCAGTATTTTTCAAAATCTGCTTTTAGTCCTTGAAGAAAATCAAGTGGTTTTATGTCGAGATTTCATAGAGGACAATTTTAGACCCATATAAATGGGTTTTATTCTTTCAAGTATTCCATTTAGCACTGTAATTTGTGTTGAAGTGCAATCTGTTTTAAGGAGTAGATTCATGCCTGTGCACATTTATTCTTGGGTTATTTTTTCTCTTTGCAGTTAGCGTCACAGTCTCTGACATCACAGTATATGAGTTTACTGCTTTTCAATCCACTTACTTCAGGAGAGAGATATGGTAATGAATTTGATTCTGGCTGTTCGTGAAGAACAAATTGTTGCTGCTCAAGACCTTTAGGGTCTTTGGCTCTACCAGTTAGGGAATGGAATGCATATGAAGGTATATGATCAAAACTGCTGAAAGAAACCACAGCAGTACATGAATGCAACACAATCCGTAACTTTTTGCTATGAGAGAGAATAAAAAGAGAGCAATAGACCATTTATAGCTGGCTTTCTAAGTCTATGCTCCAAAGTATTCACAGATATATATAAGAACAGCATTAGCTGCCCAAACAAGACCTAGAAAATTTCATTGACCAGCTCTTCTATTATTGCTTAGTAGGCTCCACAATTTTCTTAGAGAAACTAAAAATTCTAAATGGCCTCTTGCTGAATGGTAATGAAGAAAATGGAATGACTGGTTGCAACAAGACACCTAAACAGTCTTCAATTTTAAGATATATTTCCTGGAGTCTTAACCCATGAAAGTTTCCACTAAGTCTGCAAATGCTATTTCAGTGAGCTTTTTTCTCCCCATGCATGCCACAAATTCTCTGTTGTTCTGAAACTTTCTATATGCTGTCTTCAGTTTCTTCACAAGTTTTTGAATTATGTCTAGTACTTTGTACTTCAATTCTCTGAAAGAGTCTTGTAAGATTGTCCACACCTTTAAAAGAAAGGTAATTCTGTCTTTTACCCACTATTTTACTCGCTTAGTGAAAGGTTAAATAGAAAAGTTAGGCTGAGTCAAATCATCTTGTGCAGAGTATTATAGTATTTAGCAGGCTAATGATTTCATGATAAGTACCTGTGTGCCTGTTTTCACCCACAGTACATACAAGGCAGCTGCTGTGGTAAGCAAATTTCAAATATTTACCTATTTTACAGAGCATGGATGTGAGCAGTAACTGTCAAGTAGCGCTTTACTGCATGCTAAATCCACACTCAAGCTTGCCTTGTTTGAGCCTACAGTCAATCATTGTAGTGAGTGAAATAATACTTCCCTTTGCAGAAGCTATCCTAGTTAAAAGCACATAATCAGCTCGATGTTCAATAACTGTATTAAATGATTATTGTAGTACTTTGTAAGTAGTTTTATCAGGCTTATGTATGTGTCTGTATTTGGCAGACTACCTGCTGGTCTTCCTCATGTTCCCCCTTGTAGCTGCAAGATGTGCAGTTTACCAGGGCTCTGTGATTGTAGCTTATTTTAGGGAGATAAGCCTGAAGGGTTTCAGGCTGTTCAGGAAAGCTGGATTGGGAAGGCAAGTAGGAGGGCTTGTACATTGTGAAAAGGAGTGCCTTGGGTCTCTGAAGCTTTGCCTTGGGACAGTTGTTGAACCCGAGGACAGTGTGGATAAGAACATGAGAACAGATAGTGCAGTTGATGTCACAGATGTGTCTGCAACCAAATCATCTGATAAGAAGAGGGAAGTGAAGCCTTCCTTGGCCGTTGTGCCCGAGAAGCTCTTCTGCAGTTGGGAGACCTTACAGTGATGGGAATTATGTTGAAGTTTTTTCTCTTCTTTTGGGACTACTTGGAAAATCTGATCGCAGAAGTGGGTGTTTTTCAAAATTTACTTTGGGCTAAGTGAAATCTTTGAATCAAATGTGAACCAATTCTGTCTCCCGCTGCCACCTTCTGCAAATAGAACTTGAAGAGTTTGAGATGACAAGGTGGGGAGATCCTAGTAGGTCCATCTGGACTGGTCACCGCCTTAGGACCTTGCTGTGGATGAGTGTTTTGGTGTCTTCCCAAACCTGCTCAGGTTTCCCGTACCCTCACCCCGGAAAACTATCATGCACGCAGTCCTGGCTGCAAGAGAGACCGGGGAAGGCTCACCCTCACCCTCCTCGCCTTCCCCGGGCTCTGATCTCGCCAAGGGCGAGTCGCTCCCGCTCACGGCGAGGTGAGACCGGGCGGGGTAACCGGGCTCCGGCTGCAGGTGGGGAGAGGCCAGGCCGGGCCGGCCGTCCCGCCCCTGGGGCACAGCCCGCCTCGCCCGATTGTGTCACCCGTGCTCAAAACAAAGTTAGGAAAGTGGTTTCAGCCTTTCCGCGGTCTCGCTTCCAGCCCGGGCAGCGCCGGCCGGGCCAGCCCGAGGGCCCGGCGCCTGCGGCAGGTGAGTCGGGCGGCATCGCGGCCCGGAGGAGCCGGGGCAGGGACGCGAGGTCCGTGCCCGGCCGGAGCGCTCTCCCGGCGGGGAGGGAGAGAGCCCCGATGTCCCCAGCCAGCCCCGCTCTGTCGCAAGCCGCGGGGCCCGGCGGGCTCCGGCAGCCGGCACGGAGCGCGCTCTGTCCCCGGGGGGAGCGGCAGGGGCGGGGGCTGCCCTTGACTCTCCCCCCGCTCGCTGCCAGGCTGGAAGGCGGCAGGAAGGTGGCTGGAAGCGGCCCCAGCAGGCTGGTGCAGCCCCCGCAGCGCCGGCTGCCGTGCGAACGCCCTCACGGCGACGGAGCCCGCTCCGCCGCGGGGCCGGGGCTCCGTGGGGAGCCACACGCAGAGCCGGGGCTGGCGTGGGGAGCCAGCTCCGCCGTGGGGAGCGACACTCGGAGCCGGGGCTGGCGTGGGGAGCCAGCTCCGCCGTGGGGAGCGACACTCGGGGCTGCGGCTGCGGGACTCCTCCCACGCGCGGAATGTTTCCGAAGGGGTGCCCAGCAGTGCCGGCGGCGGGCAGTGGTTGTGCTGCGCTCCCGCCGTGCCTCGTGTAGCTCCGTGCCGATGCTGTCAGAGAGAATCCCTGGATGGCCTGGCCGCCTCAGGAGCTGCGCCGCTGGTTTTCGCTTCCCTGCAGATACAGATGATTGAGTTTCTGGCTGGTGGCTGCCTTCATGCTCACCGAATGCTTGTTGAAGGCAGTGCTGTTCCTGGTGGTTGTAGAAATGATTCCTGTGTCCCCCTGCAATAGTTTGGTGTCACTCTTACTCTGCTGTAGCACTTATGTGATCTCTGATTTCATTTTCTGTCTTGATACTGAAGGCTTATGATGACTGTAAATGACAGTTATGAAAGAAACGTGCTGCTACCAGGATAATAGATTGATTTCTTCATATACACCAGTAGAACAGATTATTACTGCATGTAGTGAAACGTGGGTAGTGTCACAATTGGGAGAATGGTAAAATCCCTCTGGAACGCGTTGGCTAATTTAATGCGCTGTTTCTTAGGTGCAACTTTGTGGTTTTCAACAGTAGTTTTCAGCTTAGTTTCGCTTTTCTTTTTAGAATAAGTGAATTATTCCGATGCATGGGTAAAAATTTATTGGTTTTCTCTGGGTTGTTCTGAGAACTCTGGTCCCTGTATGTGAGCTTCAGTAATTGCACAGATCAAAAGGGAACCATTACACCCAAAAGTACAAGAGTGAAAATTAAATGTTGGTCTTCTCTAAACTAGATTCTCATCTTTCATGAAATTGAGAAAAGAAATCAAAAGTCAGAGTGTGAACTACAAAAAGGAAGATACATTTCTATGAATGGATTAAGTAGCAAACGAGATTTAGGGCAGTAATACTTTACGGTTTCATGGTCTGCCAGCTCTCAGAGACTTAAGCTCACTGCTGCTGAAATGAATGAGGTGTGTTTGGGTTCTCGTGACCTGTCTCTGCCCCCACCACCACTCTTTCCTCTTATCTTGTGGCGGACTAGAAGATAACAGTAAAACAAGTACCAGAAATAAATGCACTGAAGAGCACCGCTCTACAAGCTTTGCTTGTGGTTTCTTTAAACCACAGGATGAATGTGCTTCTTCTAACAGGTCTCTTTTTTCTCCCATTTCTGTTCATTGACAAATGATATGCTATAATAATTTTTAGGTGATTTAAATGGAGGAGTAAAGAATAGTGGTCTTCCCTGATTCAATCTCTACCGTTTGCTAATTTGGAGTCTAAATATATATGGGAACATATATCTATATAGTCCCAACATCTGAGTTTGGAGTAACACATCTATTTTATTTTTTTAATTTTAATTCTCATGTTGAGAAATATGCTGAGAAATATTTATCATGTAGAGAAATAGCATAAAGGATTTAATTTCTCATGTTGAAAAATGCAGATGTAGTCAGTTCAAGTTAAACCTGATGTAAAACATAACTTATTCCACTGTTCATGACCCCATTCATGCAGAAGCAACAGGGTGCCTGTGTCTGAAACTGAGTTTAAAGATTTTGGACTTACCTTATTCTTCACAGAGGGGATGTCAAGGAAAGTGAAGGGTCTTGCTGGGGAGCTTGCATTAACTGAAGAGCAGCATAACTGAAGTCAGGGATCCTGCACAATTGTGAAGATAACTTTCTGAGTAATTGGATCACAGAGGAAGGGGAAGTTGTATGTCTATTCAAAAGCAGTAGTGAATTAAAATCCAATTTAGCATCTGTAATGATGCATTTTTAATTGTTTGCATACTGAGACTTTTTCTGTAGAAGTGAACAGGATGAAGTACACCAAGCCTCCTAATCAAACATAAATAAGTGGATTTGTTTATATGTGTTTCCAAGGCCTTGGAAGGGAGCTGAGCAGAGCAGATAGCATGAAGGTTATTTTGTTCTGCATATAGGTAAATATGACTCTTTTAGTATCATATTTTACCATTACTTTTTTACAGTGGAAAACCAGTGGACTAGCAAACTAAATATTCTTGTGCCTCACTGACATGCTTTTGCCCCATAAAACCTGTCCCACTGACTCAAGTGAAGGTATTTTCCAAGGGCAAGTTTTTGATTTTAGAAATTCTGAAAGTTTTGAAGACAATAATTCATGCCAACCTGGCTGAAAACCAAGTGCCAAATAACTAAGGAAACAATTGAGATATGTCTCTCTGTCTTCTAGTAGAATCTACATTGACTTGGGTCCTCTAAGGTCCATGGCTGTGTAGATTGAGATTTTATACTAACATTTTTTTCCATGAAGAAATGATTCTTATTTGAAGAGCATATTTAACTTGCATCTCAAAATTCTTTGACTTAGGTTAAAGATGTAACATTCCTTGAAAAACTAGAAATAGAGAGTGTATTTTAGACTTCAAGCCAAATTGTTGTTGGTTTTCAGGCAGATAAAAGGTTTTGATTTTTTTTCAGAAGTTAAATTTTAGCAAGGGCTTTTAGAGGAGGAAGAATATTTCAAGGTTTTTTTTTTTTTTGAAAATGGTGTACTTTAGAGATGTTCTTGTCAACCTGATTTCACCAGCTGAATGTAGCTCCATTTAGCAGTGAGTCATTAGGAAAACCTGAAAAATAAGACAATTAAAAAGGGTATATACTATTTAACTTAAACTTTTTCCAGATCTTTGCACTTCAGGGGAGGGGGTTACCAGTGCAAATAATTTGTCTACAAATGGAACAGCTCATGTGAATTGGCAATATCTCCTGCCAGAACGTCATGTTACACCACTTACTAATATTATGCTGTTATCAATATAGTTAATTGCATTTAATTTCAGTACTTGGAACAATGCAGCACAATAAATTGTGCTTAGAGGCTTTTTCCAACATAAATGATTCTGTAATTCTTTGCAGTCAGATGGACTCAGCCCAGCTTTGACTTTACTATGTTTAGAAAGTGTTGCATATGGTGTAAGATGCTCCTTAACAATAGTTTTTACATCCCTGAATTAACAAATGATGTTTTAAAAATAAGTTAAAATAATGGTAGAATAGTTCTACATAGTTCTGGAATCGTTCTAATGCAAGTTCTGTAAGTGCTAGTGTCTGTACAGTTTACATGCAGATATTTCTAAAACCTCATGCTGCAGCTGTAAATGTTAGCCAGAGTTTTAGCCCAAAATAGGTAACTGGCCGAGCTGTATTTGTATGCAGTAACAATTTATTGGTAAATTAGAGAGATAAAGACAGTGAGGTGAGGAAAACACCCACTCAGATACTCATGCACACTTGTACCACCATGCTGCTCAGGTATTGTATAGGTCAGCAATTTCTGAAGACACAAAGTTTTGCAGCCAGGTGAGAAGAAGAGTTCTTCTTGGAACCAGTTTTCTTGAATAAGGTGGAAAGAGCAGAAGGAGGGAGAGGAGACAATGGGTCCTTAAGCCTGCAGAGACTACAGGCAGGGTGCTCTCAGTTCTGATGATCTTGTGAGTATTCTGAAACAGTTTCAGTGTCCTTCCATAAGAAGTTTGCATTTCCAGGCAGCTCTTAGCTTTTGACTTCTTAAAAACATTAAAAAGGAAGCATCCAAAGCAATGAAGCAAGATGAAAAGATGTATTTCTGTTACAGTCATTATCTAGAGTAGCTTTACTTCTCAAGGATCCTAGCAGCACTTAGCAGGTCGATTTTAATTTAATCCTGCCTTTTCAGGATGGACCGCTAAGAACTGCTTAGATTTAGGCAATGAACATCCTGTTAGTTGTTTTTCATTAGTGTTTTCATTTTGAAGAGCAGGATGGTGAATAAATGAATATGCCTCCTTACCCTTGGCATCTGAATTTTAATACACGGATAGTTTTATTTACTACTTGTACAGAAGCCAGCAAGAAGCCAGGCAGGAGATCTTTTGTATTCCTTTCCCTCTGGGGAAGCTGGCCTTTGGGAGGAGAGAATTTCTTACAAGCCCTGTGAAAACTAGTTGCTTGAATGCAAATGTTAAAAATAAAAGTTTAATGAAGATATGTTCACCAGTCAGAGTTGGAATTCTGCATCATAGTGCACAGAATTGATGTGGTTTATTTATTTCCCCAACATGTGTATTAGTGGATTAGTCTAGGGACAAATGCCCAGTGGGGAGTGAGTGGTCTCTGTCCAAAGTCTTTGGCTGTCTGTTTTGGAGTCCTTAATCACTTCAAGCATATTTTCTGGTTTTCTCTTGTTTCACAGTTCATATTGTTGATACACTGCTTCAGATATATAATCTGCATTTTTATCCTTTTTGTTTAGATTTAAAGTTTGTTTGTTTTGGTTTTTTTCTTCCTTAACAAGTAATCTTCTGAAAAGGAGAAATTTCATTTATATGACTCTGGTATATGTTTAACACACAATATCTTCTCCCAAGTCTTTTTCCTTCTTGACTTCTGCTGAGCTCCCTTACCTTGAAATAAATTGTAAGTAATTTTTAAAGCCTTGTTGTGATATAAATGAAACTTTAAGCTTGCAGGTAACAAAGTAGGTGATCATAATGGTTCCCTTAATCTTTAAAAGATAATCAGGTCTGGCTGGAGAGTTTCTGTTAAGACTGAACCTAAATAGTCTGTCAAGACTGATTCTAAACAGAATTTGGTTCTCCCACACAAATCTACTTACATGAAAGAAATTTCTACGTAACTTTGTTTTTCCTTTTACAGGCCAGTGGGTGTAGGATTCTTCTTTTTGTCTCTGCCTTTGCTACTCCCCTGAAATTATTTTCATGACATATTCCTTTCAGACTATGTTCTTGTGGTCCTTCACAGGAACTCCAGCCTGCCTCAGATCTCTCCCTCCAGAGTTAAACTCCTCACACCCACTCCATGGTGTACAATCTCCTAAGATGAAGAGTCATGAGAGATTGTGTACATCATGAGAGAAGTGAATTCAGGCTGTGTGGAAGAGGCTTTGATGATGATACATTTCGTCATAAGATTTTCTAACTTGCACATTTTTACTTGAAAAGCCAAAACTGGAGGAATCAATGTCCCCTTTTTTTCATCCACTTGTGTCTAGGTGTCCATATGGTTAGGCCAAGGTTTATAATGCTTCCATGAGAGCTTAAAGGTTGTCTTAGTCATAATTGAGAAAAACTAGATATTTTCTTGAGCACGCAACTTTGTATCTCTGCTAGTTGTTTTAAGTGTGGGACCTGAATTTTTAGTTGGATGGTCATAAAAGCTTTTTTAAATGGCTAGAAGTAACACTCAAGTTCACTGATCTAGTCATAGTTCTCAGGAGTAATCTCCTCTGCCATTATTTGCAGATCTGTGTTTGCTCTGTTCTTCCATGATGACAGAACCACACTGCCTTTGCAGCCACGGGTTCAGTGCTCCACCTTCTTTATCATTGGGTGGGTTTTCATGTCTAGCTTGTCTGACATGTTTGCTTCTTGTGGATTGTGTTATATGCATAGGGAGCGTTTTTCTTCAATCCTGTACCTAGAAAACTTCTATGTACTTGAGCTTGGTTATTGTGTTCTCTTTGGTCTTAGCAGTCCCATTCCTCTGTCATTCTCTGTAGGTCCTGCATTTTTTTGATTCTTCCTTGATGGACTACTTGGGCTTAATTAAATTAAATAAGCTATAACTTCCCAGTTGAAATGGAAGGGATTCTACAACAGAATTCAGTGTCTAACTGGATGAATACTTGTTCAAAAGCAGGGAAGAGCAATCGGGAACAGAATAACTTCCTTGTGGTGATGCATTTTAGCTTTAGGAGCTTTTCAGCACAATGCTGAATAACTCTGATAACTAACTCTGACATGAAGTTATTTCTGAAGATATCCCTGTTCATGTGTCAGGCATGCTACACTGCAGCTGTGGGTTATTTTGACAAAGATCATTTGGTTGTAGGAAATAAATATTCCTTGTAGAAAAAGTATGCAGTCTATTGCTTATTTTGTAGTATTTGTAAGATGTGTTCTCTCTAATAACAGTGTTTTGGATAAATCCAAAGTGACCTTGGTATTAGATAAGCGTATGATATTTATCAGCTGATGATATGTTTTGAAGTGTGCTGCAGAAAATTTGTACCTGTAGAAACATGCTAAGAAAAATATTTCAGTGAAACCTAAAGCCAGAAGAGATATGAGGGCAGGTAAAACAGCTGTCTAGGTTTTTAACTATCACAGTTAGGGAGAACAGGGCTGTCACACATCATGACTTGTGAAATCTATGGCTCAACACTGTTCTGTACTTCTAGAGTTTGGTGATTTGCAGTAGACCTTGTTGGAAATGATGAAAATGCCTTTTGAAATATTAACAGTGATCTGCCTTTTGCAGACCTGTCCAAAATTTACCTCATGATTAATGGACAGAAGCCTCGTGAATCACACATCCTTGTTTAGTATTTGGAGCTATGCTTGTTTGCATCAGATCATGATAGGACCTATTTTGCATAGTGAAATGTGTTTGTAGCTAAAAGAATGGAAATCAAAGGTCTTAATAGAATTGATTTTGTAAGCCATTTATTTTCTAAGGGAGATGGATAAGTGAATGGAACTACCTATGTTATTTGAAACTGGCTTTGAGGTAATTACTGAATGCTGATTCAGTAATGTGGGACAAATTGCAGTTTTAATCTTTCATGTTATTACCAGCATTTGCAACATATCAGGGCACTGTAGGAATTATAATGAATTCTATCAGCTTTAGAAGCTGCCATAAGGATTAAGAATTTTTGCAGATGCTCTTAATTTAATTTTCTGCTGTATTGAAGACACTCACTGTGTAGCAAGTTTTTATGATGTTTATAAAAGGTGGGGCAACTTATAAGAAGGTGAGGCTCTCATGATGCATGTAATTTCATTTTGTGGTAAGGAAATATTTAGAGAGCATGGTGATGTTTGCTGAATTGTACTGTTTGCTAACTGCAAACAACTTTATCAAAGTTTTTTTTGTGCCTTTTGTTCCACTGTTTTTAATCTGCTTTTGTATTTCTGTTCTTTCACTTGCAATGGGTTATTTATTCCTTGCATAGTTTTTCTTTTATCCTAAGGAAGTCTAATGGAATATGCAGAGGCAGGCACTAGCAGCACTTATTATCTTGATTAGCTTGGCCTGCTCCTGAAGTTGTGGCCTTCTGTGAGATGGTTGAAAAAAAAATTTAAAAAAACACTGAAAACCATTTTGATTCTCGGTCAGATCTTGCCAAAACTGTCTTTAAGGTGTGCTTGACTCATTGATTTTTGGTGTTTTTAAGTTAGCATCATTGCTAAGTGGAAACCGATGGTCTGGTTTATTACCTCCTACGCTGGTGTCAGCCAGGAGTGAGCTGTATTGATGTAATGGAGGTTCAGGTGTGTAAAAGCAGTATGAAGGGAGAATTTTATCCAGACTATTACACCAGTATAGTTTGACTGTGGCTTTCCATCTCACCCACTTTTGGGTGCCTATATACAGTGAGAGCAAAGATTCATCTGGCTCATATACTGTTTTTAAGACTGTTGTTGGAAACATCATGGAAGGATTTAAGAAACAGGGCAATTATGGAGCAGTCTTTTCCTTTGTGTATCTTCCCAGCTACTGAATGTTGGTCAGATTTTCTGAGCTAGAAATTTTCTTCATAAGAGATTACAGCCATTCAGGCAGCTGTAATAGGCAAAACCCCCTTGTTATGTGTGACCAGAATTTCTTGTGACAGCATTTTCTGGCCTTGTTAATTATCCAGGGCTGCTGGCATGGTTGCTCTGGCAGGCTTTGGTGCCTCTTGGGGTGTAGAGTGTGGCTTACCCCAGCAGAGGTCTTGGGGTTTTAAGGCACCCCTGACACCTGTACATTAAAATTCAAGCAAGACCCATTCTGAGGGAGGAGTTTCCTAAGGTGGCATGATACTGGGTGGGTTAGACATCTCTTGGCCTCTCTGAGAGTGGTTTTTTTTCTCCTGATTGTAATGCTGTTTAGGAAGATTCTGACATTTTTGGCCATGTAGCCAAAGTTATTTCAGTTCTGGAACGTATTTGAACAAGAGTCCAGGAATGATTGGTGTGATAAAAGAGAGGAGAGAGGGAGGGAGAGGAAAATTACCTATGTTTGCAGATTTTTTCACATGATTTCAGAGAGGCTGAATGATTTGCTCACCAAAACCTTAGTTTGTTTGAGGTCAATGGCCTATTTGCAGTAAATTTACACTTGTGTGCAGTGTGGGAAGTCCAGCTGCCTGGCCCATGGCTATCAGAGAAATCACTTTATCATGGGAAGCTGTGTGAGTTCTGTGAAGATGAACACATCTTAGAAGATGCTGTGTTCCAAGAGTGCCAGGTTTGAACTTAAGCGTAGAGTAAAAAAGGCTGAATTGCTCTATGCAATCAGAGCCTTTTCACCTTAAGAAGCTGCATAGACAAGCCTAAGGACTTGTTTCCTCAGATTCTACCTTCACATCCATGCAGTGCTGAGGTCTTTGCTCTGAAGGCAACCTAAGTTCTGTATTTAAACAATTTTGACTGGCCTTTGTGGAGCTGTTACAGATTGTGCCAGTCATACGGGATCAGAATCAGGCTATATTCTCTTATATTAGTCAAACACCTTAAAAAATTATTTGGTTAAACATTTTCAGACAAATTTTTGTCTACTTTAGGCAGACCTGCTTAAATAAGAACTACAAATTCAAGACAAATATTTGAAGTCAAGTTGTAGTGACTTTAAGTTACTCTTGCCTTTACCTGTATTTCTTGTGTTTTCTTGTTCATGTTGATTGATTGTCTGTATTTCTTGTCAAACTGGCTGATTTTGCTTTGAGATTCCATTTCAGAGCTGGTTTTGTCTTCTCCTTTCCTCAGACTCTTCCTTCCTTGTTCATCATCCCATTTGCAATGTCTTTAGTGCAGCCCATCAAGGGTAAGCGTTTTCAAAAAGCTTTTTATTCTTTTAAGCTTTGGTGCCTAATTAAAGAGATGGTTGCTAAGAGATTGTGGAAAGCATCATTAAGAGGGTCTGATTTGCTTTTTTCCTTACTTTTTTCTGTGCACAGATTTCAGATCAAAATTTATGGGTAAATGGGATAGCAGCATCCCAGGATATTCCTGAGCTGAAATTGTAACCATGGACAGAATAAAAGGAGACTACACCAGTCCTGTGCAACCAGGAGATGCAGAGAGGAGGAGCTCAGGAGCACAAGACCCAGAACTAACTGTGCTGGGAAAAGCACAAGAGTTCTTTCAGATTTGTGATCTGGAAGGCAAAGGCTTCGTCACTCGTCAGGACATGCAGGTAAAACAAAATTGATTATGTGAAAGGCACAATGAGAGAAGTTCCTAAAGACCTTAATGAGTTGAGACTGATTACTTTAGAGTTAAAAATGTTAACACCCTTCTCATAACTTTAAAGAGATATGTGGGATTTAAAAGAATATCTTTGAAGTCTTACATAATGATTGCATTTTTTTCTCACAGACAATGCAACAAAAGAATGGAAAATCAAAGTAAATTAAGGTTTAAAAAAGCCCCAGGAATTCAATTCTATTCTTGTTGAAAACATCGAAACAACATTAAATTCATTACTTTGTGATTTGCCACAGTGTCAGGAGTGTATTCAGTCTGCCAATTTTATGATTTTTTTTCAGCAAAGTTGTGTAAATAAAGTCTTTCACTGTGACTTCACTGTCAGACAATGGTGAACTCTCATCTGGATCATATATATATGTAGGAAGTACAGAGGAACAGTATTTTTAGCATTATTCAGTGTTGGCAGCAATCTTAGGAAGTTGTGCTTAATTTGTTTGAGGGCCCCAAATCTGATTTGCTGAATATGCTGATGAGAAAAAGCAAGTATATATAACAAAAGCTTTTGAAAATGTGATTGTGGCACATTGCAGAAGTGATAAGATGATTTGAGCCAGTATGTGGCAGAGAAAAGGAATGTACTCATGCTCAATATGCAGAGCATAATTTGTGTTAATCCATTTCTACTTCAGTACTTATGGATGAAACAGAATTGGGGAGCAGGAACAAAGAAAATTCATCATGATCTACTGCATCTAATAGAAAATTTAAAACTTCCCCTATCCTCAGAAAAAAAGATGTCTGTATGTATGAAAACACAGTTGAAACTATTTTAACTACCTATTTTGGAAAAGCAAAACCCTCCTAAGTAAACTGTTCAGTTTACTAGTCTCAAGAGCTTTCTTCACAGCTGTGTGTCGCTGAGTTTTCTGATGACCTCTGTAAATTATGCAAAGTTGAAAAAAGGGAGGAATGCAGATGCTTGCTCTGCTGTAGAATTGCCAATCTACGTTATCTCACTGAAGTAACTGAATTCAAAAAACCAACCATATTGCCAGTGTAGTTTTTGGTAAATCCAAAGCCACATAGAGTTTAATGGCTTACAGTTTTACAGTCTTTCAAAAAACTGAATGGTATAAATTTTTGCCTAATGGAAAACCCATTTATTTATGTTATGTATGCATATATAAAAAGTTCTAATACCTGTTTTGCAAGGAATGTAAAATTATTTGTTTCTATTTGATTCTACATTTATGCTTAGAGTGCTGCTAAATTTATACTTCAGGTTCCAAAACAGATGTTGCAAAAGATGCAGTAGAAATAAGTGTTGCAAAGAATAAATAAAATTCTATTTCATTCTTCTATTTCATCATAGGTGTTTGTTTACTATATCTGAAAACTTAATCTCTGTATGTAAGTGTGTATAAGTTGTTTAATACAGAAATAAAGGTGCTCAGGACATTTGATATGGTGTTTCTTTATATTTGATTTTATTTCCTGTCGTTTTCATGATGTTTTCTCCCTATAAGAAAAACAAAATTCAATGAAATAAATCAGGTTTTTCCTTAAAAGGTACTAACTAACTAGGTATTGATCACTTTTGTATTGTGCTGTATTTGGTAGGTCTGTACTGCTTATCATTCCTGAAGCTTTGTTTCAAATATAGGATGCTAATGCTAAGCTTTTTAATCCTTAAGCATAGGATACTAGGCGTGATTTCAACAGAGTACTAAATATCTGCAATTTAATTAATCTTGATGGAACAAATCTTGCAGTGTTTTCTCTTGTATCTATAACTGTAACTAAAGATTTAGTCCTCCTTGATTATATCATGTTGTTTATTGTGAGAGGATGTTAATAGCTGTAGATTTTTAAAATTTTTCATTCCGTTTTCAAACACCAAATTTACCCAACTTTCAAACCAGCAAAAGGTTTTCTGAAATGGCAAGAAAGACAGTTCTACCTTAGACTCAAAACCACAGTTTCATCTGTTGATCCATGAGGTTATAATGAATAATGAGAATTAGTGCTGTAAAGTGTTTTGTTCTAATGTGCATGGGAGAAGTGGGTTCAGATCTTGCTCTTAGCTATTTGACCTCTGTCCTTGTATTTAGCTGAGTAAAAGCTTGGTATTTTGAGAGAACTAAGCACAAATATCGTGAGACCACAGAGCACTTTTGGTGGCAGTGCAGACACCTTCTTTTGAAGCTCCAGTGGTATCTCTGAATATTTTTATTTTGTTTTATTTTAAAAATTTTAGGAGCCTCATATTGAAAGGGCCTGTGTATTTTTACAGTAAGCTTGAAATGAGGAAATAAACAAAACCACATCTATGAGACCAATAATATTTTGCTTTCCTAGCCACAAATCACCTTAATTTTTTTATTAAGAAAAAACCCAAGAGGCTGGGAAAACACTGACTTAATCTTAATAAGTGTGCCCCAGCTCATAAAGGTCTGCAGATTATCTGGAGGGAATTTTATGGAGCAAAATGTTCATATATTCCTTAGACTCTCCTATTTTCATACCTTCCCCTCCTTCCCCCTCCCCCCCCCAAGAAAACACAAGTAATTGTGGTGTTTTTTACTATAAATTTAGTGTAATTCTCACCAGAATTTGGACACTGCATTAGGGCACTGCAGCTGAGGTTGGAGAAGCCCATGTTTATCAGGTTTGCAGCAAGACCCTGCCAGGCCATTGCACTGGAATAGCAGCTGGGTCTGGGATTTTGGGACAGTCAAATGGGGTGCTCCTTCAGCAGGTCCCAAGGTGGTAAGAGTACAGTTTCTGGTTTTCTGAATGTAAAAAGAGTAAATTGTTTGAAGCACTTTCTCCCTCATCAGTGCAGTGTTAGCTGTAAGAATTTTACAGAAGCAGCTGATTTTAAAAGTTTCCCTTTAATCTTGGAGATTGAAGTCCAGACTTTGGGAAGATGAGTGTGTTTAAGTAAGAAACTGAAGAGAGGTGTATCACTGATGAAATAAGTAATTTAAACTGAGTATACATCAAGTGTCCCTAGGTTTTATTTTTGGAAGCAGGCAGCAATACACAACCCAGCTCAGAAATCTGTTTGTGACTATTCCAGATAGTTCTGTGCCATAGGATCTCTGTTGCTTTCACTTCTCAGGATCCACCTTGGAATTCCTTTTACTACTCTTCCATTTAACAGTTCATAAAGCATACCCTAAACCTTTTGTGACAACCAGGGAACTCCTGGTTATTGCACTCAGCCAATTCTTACCTTGCCTATATGGCTTGGGATATTCAGTAGTGGTTTCTGCTGTTTTGGGTTGCAGGAGAAACATTTTTTGGCCCTAAATCCCTCCCCCACAGTGGAACTGATCAGCACTTTTAATCTAATGATCTTTATCAACCTACTAACTTGCAGTTTTAATATGTTGTATATAGAACAGGAGTTGGGGGGGAGGATTAAAATGTTAATTAATATAGCAGAGGAATGAGCCTGTGTGCATTTATATTGCTTCTTAAGCTGAGGAAAGGTTTTAATTTTCCTAGTGCTGTCTCCCAGTGGAAATGCTGGTTATTGGGGTTGTTTGCCACTCCAGTTTCCTCCTGTTTCTGGGAATCTGTCTACACTGTTAAAAGAATTAGAGTAAAACCATTAGAGTCAGTTTTACAGAATTCTTCTGTTTTATGCCTGTCTTTAGATCATCAGGAAAAAAATATGTGATATTTGTGGAGCTGGTTTTATGCAGCTGTGTCTTTTTTGGTGTGAGCATGCTGCATTTCAGAAGTAGAGAGTTATGAACTCCATTGCACTCATTGTGGGAGCAACAGGTTTGGTCCTTAGACCATGAGGCTTTCTTAGCTTTGTTTTATTTATTCATTTATGCACACTTTCTGAATCAGCTTGAATTAGGACAGTATATTCTCTATACTGCAGGCATCTAGAGAGTCTCTTGCTTGACTTTATGACGTGGAAGGAGCTAGTTGTACAATTCTGCTGCCAAGTTTGTCCACTAGCCTGATAACCAGGGCTTTTCACCAAGATAATCAAGCCATTTCACCAGGAGGCTGAGAGTCCACCTCAAGTTCTTCCCCTTCCCTGTGTGATTGGAATTTGTGGCACCAGGCAGTTGTTCTCCTGGCTTTGTCAAAAGGGATTCATAAAGACAAAGAAAGGAGTTATTAAAGCAAATGTCCCTCACTTGGTCTGGTTTTGCTCTGTAATTGGGTTTTCACTCGGGGAAGCAAAGGACCTATTCTGCTGTAGTATGGATGTTTTATAGAACCCAGTCTTCTTCTTATCCTGTAGTAATGGATAAAGTTGCTGCATGTTTTGTCATTACAGAGACTGCATCCTGAGTTACCTCTTAGCCTGGAAGAACTTGAAAAAGTTTTTGTTACATTGGATGCTGATGGCAACGGTTCACTTACCCCAAAGGAGTTCATCACAGGATTCAGTGAGTTTTGGAAAGCATGTCCCCTCTTCTGAGCTTTATTCATGTTCTGTACTCTCCACATCAGTCAAGAACTTCGTCTTAACAGGACACTTAATATTGCACACAGGGAGCCAGACTGTTCCCTAAATGTAGAAGATACATGTAGCAGAGGAAGAAGTGGTCAAATTATGTGAATAAATAGACAAAGGGCTATTTAAATAAATAGACAAAGGGTCTTTCTCTTCTGTGTAAAATGGCATGCCTTGACACAATATGAGAAAATGATGTAATTATTTGAATCACACCTGTTTAAAGCTGTTGAGTAAATCTATGTACAATTTATTGAAGGTTTCCCTTGGGCAAGGGGGGTGGGGAGTCTTCTGTGTTATTTCATATCAGGTAACAGGACATGAAAGATAATTAAAATTATCTCTAATCTTAATGTAAGACAATGCTAGGAATATGTTAATGCCACTGTCCTTCAAGCTGTGGGAATGCTTTCTACAATTAATTAATTCTTCAAGTGGTGCTAATTTATTTCAAAACAAACCAGGATGAGGCACTTATTACTTTTGTAAGATATGATCTGATAAGTTCTCTGTAACAGCTTGTTTTTCAACAGCACTCTTACTGTCATATTCTCTGTGTTTGTCACAGGGTGCTTTTCTCCCCACATATGACATTCCAGATAAGATGACAATGTTAGTTAAACTGTGCTTGGTTGTTTACACAGAATCAATTTTGTACTTAAACCTTAGTCAGAAGAGCTAAAATTAAGCATTTTCTCTAGAAAACTGAATCTCATCTAGGTGTGAATTGTAACTGCAAATCTCAATTTAGTTACTATCTACAGCTCCCAAACAGGACCTTCATTTTTGTTTTCATCAGTAATTTGAAACCCTAATTTTCTCATGTCCCAATGTCCTCATGTCCACTTGAATTTCTTTTTCTAGATAAAAATCCCTTTAGAGGTTTTTCTCCCAAAATTGTCCTCAACCAGGACACCCACCTCTCCCATTGTAGGTGTAGATCAAGTATCTTCACAGGTTATGCTCTAATCTGAAAGTTGACATTATAAATGAAATAATATATACTTTTCTTTTCATGAGTTAAATTAAGATTCCTTCCATAAGCAGTCCCTGCATAACCAAAACTCTTTCTTAAGGGAGGTTGTAATTGGCTGCCATCTCAAGCAGTTCCAGATCCCGGGGATTCCTCCTGCTCAGGTGCTGGAGCCCTGCCCTGAGGCCCAGGTGGATGTGGCCACTGCTTTCCTCTTTGCAGGTTCAGCTGGTAGTAAAGTTAAACATGTACCCCAAAGACACCCACACAGGCACACAAAGGACATGGGCCACATAATGTAAAAGATAAGGACAGACAGTATGAAGCATGATACATTTTAACCTGCTACACAGCATTGACAGGTATTTTCCAGGCCAGGCAGTCGTACATTTGGCTAGGTGATGATGTGGGCATTCCTGGTAGAAGCAGAAGCTGTGGTGGATAAAAGCTGCTTGGGAAGGTGGTGTCTGGATAAAGCTCATGCTGCACCAATTACTATGGGAAAGTTCTAAATGGTGGCAAATCTGAAATTTACTGTAACCTCTCTTTGCAACATACTCCGTTCTGTTGCCAGTATGCTCTGTTGGGTCCCATGAGAAAAAATGCAAGATGGAGTTAATAAAAATATGAAACCACACCAGTGTTTCTGTTTTCTTGAATCTATAGTAATTTCTATACTGGAACTTGGAATATAACAAAAAAATCCTCTGCATAAAATCACAATATGCCCCACCCCCCAAAAAAATTTGACATGTGGATGTTCAAATAAAATAGATGTCACATTTGGAATTTGATGGAATGTATCTGGTCTGTGGCAAATGAGCACAAATGTATTGATTATTCATGTGGCGGTTTCACTTGTGCATCCTCGCCATACAACTACTGTTAATAAAATGTAGCTTTCTGTATGCAATTTTTATTGGAATTGAATGTGTGTCTTTGATCATGCTCTAAAAAGAATGTTAAATTTTATTTGGTATACATTTTATCAGTACTGATATTTTAGATTCCTAATCTATTTAAACCTATCAAGAAAGAAACGCATAATATTTATGAAGAGTTGTTACTGCAGTTTATACCCTTTTATGTTTTTGCTTAGAGATATGATTTTTAAAATGGTTTCTGAATTTTGATATGGATGGTTTACTGAAGGTTAGACATTAAAATGGGCACAAAGCCCACGATAGAACTCAGGGATCCTTTTGGCATGCCCCATCCTTTTGTTTATTTACCGTAAAATTTGAGGTTTAGTATGACATTGCTTCTTATAGTAATTTCTGAAAATGCTAATGTGTGTAATTTCTAATTCTTAGGCCAATTTCTTTTGGAGCAGATTGCTTTGAAAAATGATACGGTGCAACCATCAGAAGGTGAAACAGCCTGCCCAGTTAGATATGAAGAGACCATGACTGGGGATGAGGATGAAGAATTCCAGTTCTCAAATCTCATGGATCGGCTTGGAGCTGCAAAGGTTTTGGATGAGTGAGTTCTCACAGCAATAGTTATCAGTTGTATGGCCTTTTATGATTCACCTCTGGGTTTGATTTTAATGGAATCCAAGATGAATAGCGAGAACAAAAGCTGCTCAAAACTATAGAGATTCTTGAAAAACCTAATTTTCTAAGGATCTATCATGATATAATGCCATTTGACCAAAATTTCCAAGAGCAAAACTGTTGTACTGCAGACACATGAAATGTGTTTTTCTGCCATGTGATCTGAACATAGAAAATTACAAGCATGTAATCCACAGATGTCACTGATTTTCAGTCAATGCATGTTGACTGCTGTTTTTGGCAAGGGCTACATTTAGAGTGCACCTTAAGTAGGGAACATTTCTCCACTTTTTCTGCTTTTTCTCCTCTTTGTGCCTAATTGCATAGTGTGATTGCTGTGGTAATGCTACTTCTTCCAAGGCTGGGATGGATCACTCTGAAACGTGGAGCATAAAACCTGCTCAAAGAGCTTTTTGTGTGCTGGCCTCACACTCATTGGTCAATCACAATGAATACTGTAGGACAAAAAAAAAAAAAAAAGGCAAAAATGGGAGAGAATCTGGGCAAGTGGTACAAATATTTAAGAAATACATCAGTGATTCTTACTATGGAACAAAAGTCTTTCTCTTCCCCTGACCACCTGTTCCAGGAAACAGTTTATTGTCAGCCACCCTGAAAGCCTTTTCATTATGAAGAGATATTTATCACTCACCTTTTCTCTCCTTACCCTCTTTTTGTTCTTTAAAATACAGCACTCTTCCCTGGCTAGGTTCAGGATTGCAATGCTCATGGAAGAGAGTGAGTCAGGAAGAAACAAAGTGGTTCAGGAGAATATTGGCAAAGTATTAGAAACCCATTATTTACAGTAGAGCTGTCAGTGTCTGCTGAACAGATTTGGAAACACATCATTATTTTGGTAAATCTTTAAATCAAAATTTCAAGATGTTTTGTTCTGCTTTTTGTAGCAGAATCACCGTGGAAGAAAATTGTGTCAAAAATGAAAGAATGCGGTACAAATGCAATTTGTTAACATATGTATGTTACTTAGAAGTCTGAATCTCATTCATTTCTTATGAGGGAGGGATTTTGGTGAGCTTTTCCACTGCCCCCTCCCCTCTAGATCTGTGGGAACTTCTTTACTTCTAATAGAAGTGATGGCAGGGCATACTGTATCTCGTCTGTCTCCTTTCTTACCTATTTCTGTTTAGGTGGAGTGTCTGGCAAGGCACCCGCTGAACAAGCAGTTCCTGTGCTATTCTGCAGTCAGGAATGGCCAAATGTTACAATGCATTTTTTAAAAAATGAATTCAATCTCCATCATTTCCCACCCCCTCATCCTTTTCAAATCTGGCACAGTTTATGTTGTTTTTAATAAGTTTTGTGTTCTGACTAATGTCGCCCTGAAGCCTCCATCCACTAAGGGTGCTAAGGACATTTACTGCAGCCTGGAAAATGTTCTCTCTTAATGAATCCTTTATGATATTTTCTTTCAGTGAGACTGATGTGAAACAACTTTGGTTGCAGCTAAGAAAAGAGGAACCTCATTTACTTTCCAATTTTGAAGAGTTCCTGGTCAGAATTTTTTCCCAGCTCCAAGAAGCAGATAATGAGAAGAATGAGTTGGAATGTGCACTAAAAAAGTTAGTACTTCTCTTTGTTAGACTGCTTGTGTAGTTTTACAACTATTTCACCTGCAACTTGAACTTCTGAAGGACAAGACTTCACATAATATAAAATTTCCTATAATGAAAATTTTTATCAGACAGTATGACTACTGGTAGAACTATTCATATGTCAGAACTGAATTAAATTAGCTTTTCTTTTTTGGTTAAGATTTTATTGACTGAAATTCTTTTGCAGGTAGCTGTTATTGCATTTAAGTTTTAAGACAATATTGAGTGATTCCAATCTAGTTAATCAGTTTGATTCCAGAGGAAAGTTGTATTTAACAGTAAATCTGGTAAATTGTCTGTGTGCTTTGCAAGCATTGCGTGCAGAAAAGCTATAAACCTGGATTAACTGGCCAGAGACATAAGAGGTTTAAGATGTTAGAGCAGCACAAAGCACTGATACTAGTGAAAATGTAAGCTAACAAATATATATAATGCAAAGCTATGAAATATAGTAAATAACATGTGTTTTATATACAAAATGTATAAAATGTAAATAGAAATGTATACAATGTAAATATAAACAATAAAATTATGTATTTTATAGTACATAAAATACACATACAAAAATATATATATAAGAACTAAAAATTAATAGATCATTCTTTTATATGTAGCTATCTAGAGGGAGAAAAGTTATGATGCTCAATCTTAACAAAATGCAGAATTATGAGCGTAGCTGAAGTTCCACTATATTTTTTATTTTAAAGTGTTACTTCTGATTTCAGATTCTTACAGACTGAGCAATAAGGCAAATATATTGTTGAAAATTTACTTCATTTGTTCAGCTCTCTCCTGACTATTCTGAAAATGTGACAAGGCTTATGAATAAGGAAAAAACCTAAAAATGTATGATCATTAAAGAAAATTGGTTTATATTGGTAGTAGCATTTTCAGCTAAGTCTCTGTGTGTGGTTTTAGCCTTCAGGCAGCTGGAAACAGCATACAGAGAGTTTTGTTGCCTGTTTTAGTCTAGAGATTGTTAACTACCATATGTGGTGAGGTGTTAGTTCTGTGAGGATTTTTGGGTTTTTTGTGAGTGTTTTTTTGGGAGCTGAATGAATAACTGTGTCTCTTTAATAGCTCTGATCAATGCAGAGGTGTACAGAGAATACATTAGCATTATCTTTTCTGGCTGATGTGAAATCTCTACCTTGAAAGTGGGTTGGATTTTTATGCCTTTGTAGTAGACATATGTTTTAGCTAATTTCTTCTTTTTGTTGCTCCTGATAACACCACTGATTTCAGCACATTGATTGTTGTTTTGTTTGTAGTCGATTGCTGGAAGGAATCAGAGTAATAATGTTGTCTTTGCTAGTAACAGTGGGGATGAATAACCTGTTTCTTTTAAACTATGTACGAATAACAGCAAAGCTCAAGACAGCACCATATAGGGGAGAAGATTATTTTTTTTTTAATACCCACATACTCACTAGCACTAAGATGCATGTATCTGCAGAGACTGCTCAGGATTTACTGTGGGGTCACAGAAGAGAAGGGATGCTGGGTTTTGAGGACCTATAATGTCTAGTGGGTTGTTCTTGATTGGTGACAGTAGCACTTCTTGGAAATTGAATATGAATTTGATCTTTCATCTTTCCTTCCTGAGTCTTTCCTTCCTGACTCACCTCTGTGAGTCATTAGGCAATAAGGCAGTCTACTCACAGCCTTTTGTCTCCTTTCCTGGGTGTAGGCTGTGCTTTTGTCTTCAATTGTTCCTTTTTCTTCTATCCTGGATGCCCTCAGAAGCTTCATGTGTGTTTGCTGGGATCTTTATGCCACAAAAATCTATGCTCTCCCCCTGTGATGTTCTTTTATAAATTTTTTTTTGTCTTTTCTTCTGGACCTTTCACATGTGCATATTTTCATTCTTGAGCCTGAGTCCCATGGTCTGAGAGATCCAGGAGTTTCCTCCTGTTCTGGTTCAGTAGATCCAGTACTGTTGCTGCTGTTCCTGTTTGTAGGTCCAGGCAGCAGTGAGGATGAGCATATATTCTCAATACACAAACATGCAAATACAGCACACATGGGGGACTGTGCAGGTTAATACTGATGTAACTAGAGAGAGGAGAATAAAGGGGTTTTAAGTCTAAACCAAATATAATTTTGTGGGTACAATATTTATTTGCCAGGGTAGGTAAGTTCTCCTTGATTTTTGGTATGTGTTTCATTTTAAGTGCAGGGCACTACCAGGGAGGGTACTGAGCATGTGCCAAAGCAAGCATTTGCTACTACCTGGACTCTTAGTGCACCCATGTTCTGAGTGCGCTGTGGGAAGTTGTGGTCTCTGCAACACAGTAAGAGTGTAATGGGATGAGGAGAAGTGCAGGGAATGGCAACTCAGTGGTTAAAGGAATAGAACAGCTATTCTGAGAGAACTATTTTTAAAAGGTTGTATCTCTTGAATGAGGAGGCAAAGGCTGGAGTGGAATATGACAGACCTTGTTATTCTTCAAATCCCTGGCAGTAGAACCAAGGGGCTTTTAATAAGACTGATAGGAAGTAAGCCTAAAAGAGATGAGAAAGACCTTTTTCTTCTAATAGCAGATAAAATCGTCAACTGCCATTAGCTCTGTCTGCTGCTGTGCTTTGCATTTGAAGGACAAACCTGATAAAAATGTAGACTGTGTTTCAAACACGAGTTCTAATTAGGCAAGATAAACACAAGGGCAAAGGGGAAGGGAAGGATGGGGCTTAGCATGGCATAGTGTCAGAATCCATCTTTGTGGAAGAAGAGGAGAATCAGCATCTCAGGAGATTAGTTCACACTGTGCACAAATCACTGTATTTTTGTAGGGAGAAAGAACCATTTTGACAAACTGCGCGGACAGCAGTTATGAAATCAAAACAATTCACATTGCAGCTACATGAATGGGCAGAAATTAAACCCTTTTAAGTGTGTTGATCCTGAATCTATCATCTGAACTTAGTGAGCTCACATTACATTTCATCTGCTTTCATCTCTATCTGTTTATTCCACAGTGTTACTGTGAGACTAAATTATCAAATATGGCTGAAATTATAAAATTATGTGTTAAATAAAACTTGAAGGGGTAACCTAAGGGAATAGAAAAACATGTTGCATTTTTCACATAGAAATGATATATCCTTATGTCATGGTTTGACACTGGCACAATGCCAGCGCCTCATGAAAATACAACCTACCAATCAAATGCTGTGAAATGTGATCAAGAACAGAGCAAAGCAGGCCAAACTTAATAACAAAGGAAAAACTTTATTACACTACTACTACTACTACTATAAAAGGAAAAGAAAGGAAAGAAAAAAAACCACACAAAATTCGAAATGAAAACCTTCCAAAACATTCCTCCTCCCTCCACCCAACTCCACCAAACCCCAGCGAGACCCATTTGGATCCTTAATCAAGTTTTCACCCTTCAATATAATCAATACTGAGTCCATCGGGGAAGAGAGGAGTCCCCCTTGCACCATAGACCCCCAGGAAACACAGCTGCCACCTCTTGTGTTTCCAATGTCACATGTGGCACCGCCCAGACACACCGGCCAGTGTGACACTCTCCTCTCCATGTCACAGTGCTCTTACCACCGTGCATGGACAGAGACTGCTTATAGGGCCCCTTTAAGGATGCTTTGCCAAGGACCACCAGGAACAACAGTCCAGTATCACAATTTGGGACTAGAGTCTCTCCCACTTTCTCCTGGGGCCGAGGGTCCAAAAGACAGAGATCGCCTTCTCTTCCTCTCTGAAGATGGAGGGCATCCTCACACCCTCCTCAGCTCTCTCTGTCCATTCCAAAACTGGTAGTTGCTGCAGAAGGTCTCTTGGCTCACCAATGCATCCCCCTAAAATGCAGTCCCTCTTGAAAGAAAGAGTGGTTCAGTCTATGGTAAACAAGCAGAGTCTAGCCCACAGCCACTCCATCATCTCCCCTCAACCTTCTTCTCTGAACATCTGAGGTCCCAGGCTGTCTCTCTTTCCTTCAAATTCAGGAGGAGTAATATTTCATAAAGCCTTCATTTCACAGGAAAGGGTTAAAATTCCTGGACTCCCCGCTGAAATCTCAGCCCAGGACTCCGTCTCCCATCTCCCACACTGGGCATCTTCCCCCCCCCTTCTCCTTCTCCTCCGCCTGCAAACTCCCAGGTGTCTGCTGGCTCTCTATCTCTTTTCCCTCTAGCTTAGGGGAGGGGGAACAAAGACATCCCAGATGTTCTCCACCCTTCCATCTGCAGGAGCTGACCCAGCCGGTTCCGATCCTTTACCTCCTGGCCTACCTGTGCAGGCCACATGGCTCCCCTCCCCCACCCAGCCCGGGCTGGGCAGGGGAGGTCCGTACCTTGCGATGACCGGAACCAAAGAAGGACGAGTCCTCCTGGGAATTCCGCTTTTAACCCCTCTGTGTTCTCAGAGGCGTGTCCACCTTAATTTGGTCACCCCAAGTGTCAGTATCCAAACCTGACCCCTGACTGGATGGACCTCTTCCTTCCAAAAAAAAATTCTCTTCCCGTGTCAAACCATGACACCTTATCAATTCAGTTTTTTTTCTCCTGAATATACGTGGGAAATATTTGCCAGCTAATGTATAGGATTTTTTTTCTTCTGCTTGTTAGTAATTTTACTTATAATTGTTAGACTTTTGATTGCGAGGGGATATTATTTTACCCTTCTGTTTAATTTCATAAGAGATAAGAATGGAAATCCATGAATGAAATGCTTGGAGGGTATTCATCCTGAAGAAAGGCATGTGCTTATGTGCCAGAGCAACTGAGAAGATTCCTACATTCAGTAGTGCTTTCAGGATGTAGTCTTCATGGTGTTACCATATCCTTTGCTTCCAAACACATTAGAGGAAAAAAAATACCAAAACAGCAAGCTAAAACACAGGACCAAAGTTATTCTCCCTGTCACAGAGAAGCCCAGGAAATTTTTGTGATTCCATGGAAACGCTGCTGTGCAGTGTGTTCTGCCTCTGCAAAGTTACAGGGCTTTTCAGTAGTCAGTCTAGTGCCGGTCAAAGTGACATTTTACTGCGTGAATACAGTAGGTGTATGGTCCTAGCATCTCTGCCATGCCTTTCTAAGTAGTTGTTTTTCTCTATGAATTTCTGTAATTTGATTCCATTGATGAGTGCTAATTTAATAAATTGGCATTTTATTAGTTTCAAGAAAATAATTTGAGATCAGAACATGACGGATCTTTACAGTATAAGGGGAGTAAGGCAGTAGAAAGGGCTTCTGGATTTTCTGGCACTCTCCATCTGAAATGTTGCAGTCACATTGCAGAGGACCTTTTGGGGCCTGGTTTTCTCACCTAGTCAGAGTTTACAAAAGTCTAAGTGACAGTCATTGTTTTCCTCCAATTCTTGTAGCTCCACAGTTGTGTATTGCTTCTGTAAATCCTGGAAAATATCTAACATTTTTTTACCTGTGACTGAAAAAGCAAGCTGGCAGTGTCAGGTGTTCTGCTGTTGAAAGGGGAAAAGACAGACTTTTTTTCTGGTTTTACTCACTCTTCTTAGATTAGGTAAAGTTTTTGAATTTTCTTTAAAATTGGCTTTGTTTTAAATTGGAAGAGAACTGGGCTTTCAATAAGGGAAAACTTAGAATATGTACAGCATTGGGCTAAAAAAAAAGTAGATGCAAAATAAATGTTGGGTTTTTTTCTACTGCACATTTCTTGTCTTGCTCTTGCTGATGTGAATTCCCTCAAAGATTCTGTACTTTATTTGTGACAGATGCATTATGCAGATTGCTCAAGGAACAGCTATGGCAGGAAGAATATGGGGCAATATACAGTACTGTCAGATACAGGTCCTAATAATCTCTATCAAAAATCATTCCAGGATGTCCCCTTAGTTTGATACAAAGATATTTTTGCTTTTCAGTGTCTGGATTAATGAGCATAGAATAGAATAGTAGCAGAACAAAGTAGATACCTTGTTCCCTGTCAACAGTTTTAATTTTTTCTGTCCAAGCTAAAGCATTTGCTCCATGCAATCCTTCATGGATCAAACTGCGGTGATATTAATTGCAATTTTCCACTGGGAAAAAGTGAACTTTGTAGGTTCTTCTTTTTTCTTCCTACAGTCTCATACACTTGTGCATAGCATATTTCTTTCTGTTCCTTGTCTGGGCTTTTCCAAATTTGTTCCAGCAAAGCAGTTAGAGAGGCAGTAAGGCTGCTTTCAAGAAGATATTTCAAGAATTCTGTTCTAGCTAATGTGTCTTAGATAGAAGTACCTCATTCAGTACCCTTGAATGGCCAACAGTGCAGTTCAAGATTAAAAAAAAGGAAGTTGCTGTGAAAATAGTTTTAACTGTCAAATTTAGGTTGTTGGTATTGTCATTAGGAAACTCTCTTCCTTTTACCTAAGAGCTAGTAGTCATTAAAATTGCGTAATGAACAGCTGCTTTATGTGGAAACATCAGCTTTATATTAGCTTTTGAGCTATTGAAGCCTTACTTCCATGAAAATAAAAAAGTAATCTGTGGGTTTTGCTGCACAAAAATTTCTTTTTCCTTGAAGCCAGAACATTCTTTGGAGTCTTGTGTTAAGGCAGAGATGTGGAGCTTAGCTGGTAATGTGGGCTATGACTTGAAGTAATGCTGCAGAGACCCACTCGGTGTATTTTTGTCTCTTATTAGGAAAATTGCTGCTTATGATGAAGAAATTCAACATCTCTATGAGGAAATGGAACAGCAAATCAAAAAGGAGAAAGAGCAGTTTCTCTTGAAAGTGAGTGTCTGTGTTATAGTGGCCATGGATTCTGCTCTCCCTTTCAGTGGTTTTAAACTTGTTCTGGGTGTGAAATTAAAGCCCACAAAATGTGTTTCACAACAGAGGAAGAAAAAACGTCTTTTACCTCACAGCTACTTTTGTGCTGCAGCTTCAAACTTTTAGTGTCTGCAGCTTCAAGCTAAGTGACTTGTTGGATGAAGGAGCTGTGATGTCCTGTGCTCAGTGGCTGGCATACAGCACAGTTACTTTTGAAAGTCACTTGAACTACAAACATTGTATTATTGATGCCAATCTATGTCCAGCTTCTGGTCACAATGAGGAAAAACACTCTGTGAGGTTGTTCAGAGCAGCACCAATCCTATTGAATTCTGCAGTCTCTGATTTTGGAGAGGGGATAACAACAAGAGACGAATCAAGCGATGGAACAACCACAAGTTATTTACAAAATAAACACAGGGCATAATCTTTGGTCACTGCCATGGTGCTTCCAAAACGCCTGAAGATAAATTCCCTTTTCTTGGGAAGGCGTCTTTAAATCTCCTGTTCTGTGTCCGTGGTCTTTTCTTTGGATTTTTCTTTCCTGTTTTTTCTTGTAAAACTAGGAAACTAACAAGGACTTCCAGCATGCTCCAGGAAAGGGTCACCTTAGAATCATATAGGTAGGAAGGTGACACCTTACCTCCTAGCTAGATCAGAATGCTCAGGAACTTGGCTAATTACATTTTGAGTGTTAAAATATTGGAAATTCCACAGCTGCTCTGGGTGGCCTGGGACAGTCAATCATGATCTACTGGCTCATCCCTTTTTGTTGTCTTGGCATCAGTCATATAAATGAAAGAAATACAAGATTTCAGCAATACGTGATAGAAATAGTTGCCAAAATAGTAGTTGTTGCCTCCATTCTCAATCAAATATATATAAATATATCTAGACAATATAATCAAATATATCTCAAGCTTCCTTTTGGGATGCAAATATTTCAAGTATTTTTTGTTTCCTGGCAACCAAAATAAAAGAAAAAGAAAAAAGTGCCTTTATCAGCTGTCTAAGGAATTGTTCATTTTACTGGCCTTACTGGATAGTAAACCTGACTCAAAATTTTCCAAGTTTTTTTCCATTCCAAGGTGAGAGCAGTTTTTAGTGGTGGATGAGATGAAACCTTTAAATAAGGTTTATATGCTAGCTGAAGGATAAAAAGTATTTGCAACTTTGCCTGGCAGCACTTTTGTGGAACAAATAGTTTATGTGCTCTTAATAGTCCACAACTACAAGTGGTACTGAAAACCCCCAAACAACAAAGACTTTTCCATAAGCAATGATTATTGGATCTCCTAATTAGTTGTATATTTGAGGTTAAGCCATTTCTTTCAGGCTTTTTCGTGAAAGCTTCCCACTCAAGCTATTTACAGTTTAGTCAGCAGTCACACTAAGGGCTGCCAGACACTCATGAAGTATTGTTTCTTTGCATGACTAATTTGAGATCGGGGGAGATCTGACTGTTAAGTTCTTTCTCTAATGTGAAGTCTTACAAAGACTTTACAGCCTGGAGAGATGCATTGATGCCATATAAAGGGGAAATTATTGTGGCTTGAATGAAGAGCAGCTCTTAAAGAATACATTTAAAGAAATGGTAAGATGCAAATAAGTACAAATTGTAGCTATTTACGATACTTAATACCCTGCTGACTGAGTGTTACACAAAAGGGGCAGTTAGTCTGTTTTTTCACTTGCATATATATTCTTCCCCAGAAAGAGCCAGTTATCATGCATTTCATTACCCCATTACATGTACTGCTTAAGGGAAAACATTTGTAAGAACCACTGCTGTCATGAGGGGATTTTTATTTTTGTTTAGAGGTATTTTCTTGGGGACCTTAGAGAGTAGAAGCCTGATTTTGGAGAAACAGAACAGATTCTCAGCTGATACAAACTGCTGGAACCTGATTCAGGAGAGGGCTGACAATTTTTCTCGGCTGAGGAGTGTCAGGAGTGATCCTAAATGTGACTAGGAGTTCCCAGTGACTACAGGATACTTAGATAGTTGACAGGTTAATATAATTGCTAAGTGAAAGGCAGAGCTTGAAGCCCCAGTTGCTTGTTTATACCAGTGGAACATCTGTGAAAAATTGTTGTTAGTGATGGATTTGAAGTGTGGCAGTTGCTCTTTCTTTCACATCAGCCTGAGTTGCTGTGGCTGGAAATGAGAGGCTACATTCTAGCTGCATTGATCTAGACTGGGTCAGCTCCTCAGCCTCCTGCCTGAGATGTCTGCCTCTACTTTCTAGACTCAATACCCACTCGTGTGCAATCAGCAATTCTGTAGCAACCACAACCATGGAAGCTGCTGGACTACTGCAATTTAGAGATTCATGAGTGATACCATCCCTAAACTGAGTACTACCCGTGTCTTGTTATGTTCACTGTGGGAAGCTCAATCACTTGTTCATTATTTCTCCTCCTGCAAGGCAATTGTGCTGTTCTGTTAATCCATTTCCTCTTGGAATTTTGCAGGACACAGAGAGGTTTCAGTCCTACAGTCAAGAGCTGGAGTGCAAGTTGCTGTCAAAAGAACAAGAACTGGAACAGTTGGTTCAAAAACAGAAAAGGGTACTAACTGATATCCTTCGGAGTTAAAAAATAGATAGCTCTTATTTGCTCATATGATCTTCTTTAGGTGCTATTTTAGGTTCCAAAACTGCAAGTTGGTGTGATGTGGTTCTGCCAAATTGTGACCCTCTGTTGTTGTTGTGTCATGTTCTTAGGAAAAATGTTAACCTCTGTTTCTAAAGTAGTTTTCCTTTTATGTGGTAAAATAATGCTTTGCATATTCTCCCCAGGTACTAGGTTAATTTTTATGAAAATGTAGCATTATGAAAATGTAGCGCTGCCTTCAGTCTTCTAGGAACTAGCTTAACACACGGATAGCTTAAGAGCAGAGAACAATGATTTGGCTCTTCTAGTGTACACCTCTGCTCAAAGCCTGTACCAGCCACTCATTTACTTGTTTTGGACTGATTCAGCACTATGAACTCAAAATGCTCCCTCCTGAACAACTTGCTCCTGATATATCTCTGTGATAACAGTTTTATAGCAGTGCATGTTTCCCTTGCATTGGTAACAGCTTGTCAAGTTCCCATAATAAAACCTGAGGTGTTTTGTTTCTAAAATGCATGGCCTGCTTGGGGGAGCAGAGAACTTGCTGTCAAGTGGCTCCAAGGTCATTGCAGGAAAGACTAGCAATAAGGAAAGGAGGTAGCACTGGAATTTAAAGGGCTGAAATGGAATGCTGTAAACACAATTCCCTCTGTGGAATATGAATATGTGGACAAAAAGAAGAAAGTTTTTCGCAATGAGAACCATCAACCGTTGCAATAAACTTCCTGGGGAAGTGGCATTCCCCAGCACTGGACACTAAAGATTTAGCTGGGCAGGATGCTGGGTCATCTTGGCTAAACTGTATTTTTGCCAAAAAAGGTTGGAACAGATGAACCTTGAGTTACCCTTCCAACCTGGTACTGAAGTTTAGCTGGTAAGAATACAGGACTGAAGTAAATGTCTATTCCACAGTTGAAATCAACTGCCTGATGTTAATTACCTTTGTCCAATGCCACTGTGAATCAGAATATATGTGGTTTTATGCAGGCTATTTACCACATTGCAAGACTATAGTGGGATAATCTATACTTGGTAGATATCTGTGGGGGCACACAGATCAGGCATTCTTAGTCTGAAACTAACTGCAAAAGTATAAGAAATTACTTACTCTAATTTAGTAATAATTATATTTCATATTTTCTTTTGTTTTTGCTTTGAATCTCTGTTTAAAACTTGGTTGTTAGCCAGTAATTCTGTAAAAAATTCTTATGGTTTTTTCAAGTATGTGTTTTCTAAATTTGGTATAAAACCCACAGAAGCTATTCAAAGGCTTTGACTCAATTTTAAGCCTGGTATAATCAATCAATATAGGCAACAATACCAGGAAGTCTTATCTTATGATTGCTGTCTACATTGCCATTGTCTACTATTGCCTATCTTGGAGAGCATAAAACAATGTCTGTGCTATTTTTATTAGTATTGTTTTTTAATATTATTTTATAATCTCTATTTCTACTCACTAGATTGCTTCTTATTAATAATATTGCTATGGGTTTTGTTGTTCTTTTTCTTTTTTGGTATTGCTTTTCATTCACTGAGAATGAAAATGTGTGGTGTCTAATATTTGCCTCATCCAGAGATCTGTCTCACTTCTGCCTCCTCCTCTGGCATGGAAATTTACTTTGATAAATCTCTTCTTGCAGATAGTAAAGGTAGCTTGATTTAATTACAAGTTCTGTGCCTGGTTGTATGAGAGAACCTCTTGGCCCACAAGGGAGCAACACAAATGCTTTTTTCCAAACTTCATTAATAATTTTTTTTTTTAAATTTAAAATACAATTAATTGTTTTAGTGTTGGAAATCATTAACAAAAATATGAAAGGGAGCTTTCAAACCAGATGACCTCTACGTTGTTTCCTCTGACATAGTCAGAGGGATTCTCCCTTATGAGGGTTGTCTGGCTGGCATTGCTTTTCAAGGGAACGATGGGAGTTGGATCATCTCAGGAGGAGGCACTGGGGCCAGAGAATATCCAGCATAACCTCTAGGACACAGACTTTTGTGTGAGAGAAGAAAGTAGGTGTGGACTAGGTGAAATGTAAGGGAGTTACTGGACTTTTCACATAAAATGTTGGGTTCTGTGCTGATGGCAGCTGCCGAAGAGCACGATCTTGGAGTTAAGAGTGAGATGCATAAAAACATGAATCAGTAGCACTCAAGTGCCTTATGGCACTGTATAAATTTTGCATCATTCACGTGCTACTGAAATAAATAGGGAGGAAAAAAATACAAAAACTACAGAAAGGATGCTGAGCTTAGAACAAGGGGTTGCATGGAGAGTGCTTGATGTGTGTGTCTTTTGGGGACACCAATAAATGTCTTCAGCAACAGCTCATTTACATTTGATAATCCCAGTTCTTTATTTGACTTAAACTTGATTTTCCTCTCATCTTTGTCAAAAAAAGAGAATATGCACCATCAACTACCGTGTCTGTGCTTGACCTGTGGAATGGGTTAATTCTCTCTGCTACTTAGATTTTCTTCAACATGTCTATGGGCTCTGAGTCTTTTCCCCAGCAGTTTCCATCTACCAGATGAACATAGGAGCCAATTTGCAGCTCTGATAAGCAGCTAGAAGCTATAGGATCTATGCCATTCTATTACCACATAAGCATTCACCTAATGAGTTATTTCTCTGTATTGGGAGTGTTTAGATGAATGCTTTAAAAGTAGTGTTTGGCATTTCTCAAAGGATTGCATGGGTAAAGTGGAAGAAGGGAGAAGGTATGCTGTGAAACAATCCTTTCTCCTCTTGTTGTGTTCTGGATTTTAGACATTATATTATCATTTTTCTGATTATTATTTTAATATTTTATAATATTATAATTATCATTATCATCATTATTATTTAATATAATATTATTATTATTTAGACATTATAGTATCGTTTTAAGAGTGACCACCAGAGTGAGCAAGCAGGATTTATAGCAAGTATTTCTAACATCAGTGTAGATGATTCTGAGAGCTGATGTTGGCTACCATTGCAGTTACATTTCCAGAACATTTCCAGAACAGTCTCTGTGTAAGTTTTCAGATGGCCATACTGTTCTCTAAGTGAGGTTTTTGTCTGCAGCTTTTTGTTCCTTAGATTTTTGAAAGTTCGTCTTTGTGTGGTCACTTTTTGCTTCTCCCAAAGCCCCTCCTCTGGATGAGTCTTGTCCTAAGTACTTGAAGCAGCTGATCTTCTGCTTAGAGTGGGTAACTTTGTTCTGTCGAGGAGTGAAAGCAACATTGAGGAACTGATGTAATCTACCCATGTAAGCCAACCTTGTTCAGCAGTAATCTAATGCCCAGCCAGTGTTCCTTGTGAAATCTGAGCCTGCTGAGGCTACAGTTCAGCAAATACATTAAGCTGCTGCTGCTAAGTGCTCCCACTCTACATGTGTTCCTGACTTCTCACAGTCCAGGCTAGAAAGTATTTTCTGTGTGTATTTTTAACCTGGGCCTTGTTCAAAACCAAAACTGCAACAACAGCAGTGTTCTAGGGTAGGAACTGTTTGTAAGAGCTGGGTGAGGACAGATTTTGGTTGGGTGAGCTCTGCTTGTTGAGATGGGTAAAATGGGAGTTCTAACATTGTTATGTCTCAGATCTGGAAGATTGAAATGGTATCATTGTGACGCTCCAAGTATGTTTTACATCCCTTAAAATGAATACAGGAAAAAAAAGCCCAAAAAACAAAATAAAACTTTTGTATTTTAAGGTCAGCAATGCTTTCCCTAATACGAAGTTTTGCTCTGCTGTCTAAATTTGCTCAGTTAGCCAGGGAGAAGCAGGTAGAACTTCCTTATGTACCAGAAACCACTATCATCTGCTGTTGCTTGTTTTACAGGGAAGTTGTATCTTTCCTTTGATGTACATTGGAGAGGGAATATAAAACTGAATAAAGAAGCTCTAATTCACACTTCTTGTCAGATCTGTCTGAGGTGGCAAAAAGGTCACTGCTTGTTCGTATTGCTGGGGATGGGAAGGTTTATCAGCTATCAGATTTAAATCTAACAGTTTTTAGGTAGATCTCTGAATCATTCTGTGTAGGCCTGGTCTTTGTGGAAAATGGTCTAAAATAGCAGTTGTGAATATCAGCTTAATGCTACTAATCTGCTCTCTAGCACCTTTTTTTATGGTTTGTAGTGGTGTGTTCTTGAATTGGATTAAATTCAGTCATAGAATGGAATTACTTTGTTTTTGTGTAACATAATTATATCTGTATATAGAAGAGTGGAAGAGCATCATATGTGTTTAATTAATTTTTTGGCTTTGATAGAAATAGCTCCCTGTTCAGGTAACCTCTAAGACCCAAACTGAAAGCCTCAAAACCAAGATCTTCCCAAACTGAAAGCCTCAGAACTAAGTCAGGTGTAATGCTTTCTGTTCTCTTTTCTTCTGCCCCAGTTAGAGCATCAGTGTACACAACTCCTCAGTGGCAAAGAAGAAACCAAAGTAGAGAACACCAAGCTGAAGCTGACTAACCAGGAGCTGCTGAGAGACCTGGAGAGAACATCCCATGAACTAAGCCTGGCTCAACAACATCTACAGGTGCTTCAGGAGGAGGCATCAAGGCTCCATGAGGAGAAGGAAATGTAAGTGTCCAGCTGCAGCAGTTCTTGTGCATTTGCTGGGTACCCTCAGGGTACCCAGTTCTGTGATTTAACCTTGAGTCAAAAGCAGAAACCACCTGAAAAGCCAAGTGCAGTTCTAGCTGCTTTTCCCCAAGTAATTCAGCATGTTTTCTCTAGCATATCTGGCTTTTATGGAATCTTCTGCTATGTGTTCAAAATTTCAGTGTTCTCCCCCCTGCCATTGGTTGAGGGTATTTGGAATTAAGAATCCATGTAGTGTCTCAGTTTTGAGATAGAAACAGAATTCTTTATGGAAATGCCCTACAGTAGTGGCACATGATGCTTCATCCTATGCAAAGCTGAGTCTATCTGAAACTTGCTTCTCAGAATGCACTCTTGACTGAGATACCGAGGATCTTCTTTTTTTCCTTCATCAAAAGTAAACCTACTAAGGCCAGCAAGATAAAATTTAGCTTATCCCAATTCCCACAAGACCTTATGGCAATTAAGAACTATAAATTTGGGGTTTCCAGTTCAAATGTTTAAGGTTTCAGATTCTGACTCCAAAAAAGAAAAAAAAAATCCAAGAAGAAATATTTACAGTTCATATTTTGAGGGTTAAAATTGATTTGTGACAGTTCAAGCTACCTGTCTTGCTCCAGCCTTCTGCACAAAGCAGAAGAATCACTACCCTGAGGCTGTAATTGGCAGAAACATTCACTCAAGTCCATTTTAAAGAAAATGCTCAGGGATCTGTAGAAGCCTCTCATTGCCAATAAAGAGCACATGAATGACAGATGGACCCAGCCATTGCAGCAGTGAACTATATAATTCAGAGCTGTTGCTGTTTGACATATTTCAGGATAGAGAAGAACATTAGTTCAAATGTCACATTCTTTTTCTCTTAAATTTTGTGCCAAGTTCTGTTAAGTTATCACTTCTTAAGTTTTTCTTGAAGGTAAAAATAATGAGCTTTGTTGATAAATTAGTGTTAAAGAATGGCCACTGTGATTAGAATTTTTAGGTTTGCATGTTTGATGTGTGTTTTGGAAGTAGACAGTAGAAATACTCCTCCTCAAGGTGGTTTGTTTCCTCTTTGAGGCCTCTCTTTACAGATCCAGAGCAAAGACTATGGAATGATCTGATTTAAAAGCTGCAAAGGAAATCTGCCCAGTGGTCAGACTGCTGAATAATACTACTGCACATACAAAACACTTTGGATTCAATAGTGGTTTATGGAGTTAGAGCTCAGCCCTACTCAACTGCACCTGCAGTGTTGCTTTAAACATCTGTATCAGTCTGGTAAGACCTGAGCTGCTGAAGCAGGTGTAATGTTCAGACAGTGCACAAGGAGAACTTGAGGCTTCACTGAAAGGCAAAAAAAAAACCATTAAAGGCCAGACACCAAATTGTGTTAAATCAAAGTAAATGGTGTTAAAATGGCTGCATAAGTGTCAGGAATTGGAAAGAAATTGTAGGGATTGTAGACGTGAGAGCCTGACATATGGTTCCTACAGCAGGATAAGCTCTAATTTTGGATAAAATGTCACCTGTTTTTTAGTGGCCATAAGTGAGAGAAGTATTTTAGTAGTGTATCTGTTCTGAATGCTCCAAGTGCCAGTATCAACATATATTAAACTCTCTGGATGAAGAAATTAAAAAGCAATATTTTTTGAAAAAAGAACCTCTGATCCTTCCTCTGCCAACTTGTACTGCTGTGCTACTGTGGGGGCCTTAGACTGAATAAACTTCTTTAAAATATTAACCATTCATGCAGAATAGAATCTACATTTTGGAAGAAGCTGAGGACTCAAACGTAGATACCCCTAGGGGGAAGCATTTCAGCAATGTTCTTACCATGGATAGAACAAATTCTTTTTTCTTTTTCTTTTTTTTTTTTTGCAGGGAGGTGTACCGGGTGACAGAAACCTTACAGAGAGAGAAGTCAGGACTTTTGAAGCAGCTGGATTTTTTAAGGTAATGTTGATCTTCTAAAAACTTCTTATATAATTCTAAAGAGGTCCATTAAAGGATGAAATAATTTTGGGATATGTAGTGAGTGTAGATGTTGACAGTGGGCTGCCACAGGGCAGCCTTCGTGCCAGAGAGAAGCCAGGGCTGCCCTCTGACAATGGACACAGAACGGGGCACAGTGGAGCCCCACGGCCCCCATGTGCTTCTGGAAAAGCCTCAGTAAGAAAGGGTGGAAAACAGTGGAGCAGTTGGGAGAGAAGAGAGAAAAAAATGGGTGAAAATCCCTTCAGACACCAAGGTCAGTGATGAAGGAGGGGTAGGAGGTGCTTCAGGCACTGCTGGAGCAGGGTCCCTGTAGTCTGTGCAGGGTCAACACAAGAGCAGGAGTTTGGTGCATGGAGAGGAGCCCATGCAGGGGCAGGTTTTCTGGCAGGAATTGTGGTCCATGGAGGACCCATGCTGGAGCAGTCCATTCCTGAAGGATTATTCCCCATGGAAAGGATCTGTGCTGGAGTTTGAGAAGGACTGTTACCTGCGTGAGAGAACTCACACTGGAACAAGAAAACTGTGAGGAGGAAGGAGCTGCAGAGAGAAGCTGTTATGGAGTGACCACAAACCCCACTATTCCCCATCCCCTTGTGCCACTCAGGATTGGTTAAGAAGGTAGAAGAGCTGAGGGTGTAGGAATGAAGTTGAGCCTGAGAAGAAAGGGGATTGTGGAGAAGGTGATTTTAGTTGTGTCTCCATTTCTCATCATCCTCTAATTGAGTGTTTAATCTTAATGGGTAGCTGGTAAGTTACCTTTTTGTCTTTATCTTGGCCCACAAGCTTTTCCATGTTATGATCTTCCCTTGTTGTGTTGAGGAAGGAGAGTGAGAGAGTGGCTGGGTGTACATTTGGCAGCCAGTCAAGGTCAACTGCCACAAGATAATGACACGAAAATAGTAAAAATGGTTACAACGGTTGTTTCTTGCATAGAGTAGAGGGCAGCACACCCGAAAGATATGCTTTGTTTACAAAATTCAGTACTGTAGGTCGATCTCCTTTCCGAAAGTCAAATGTAAAACAGAGCAGCACCAAACAGCTCTAAGCTGATTCTGAGGTAGAAGCCTGGCTGCAGGAGCTTGCTGAAAGGCTCTGTTGCTTCTCAAGTGCTGGGAGTTGAGCCAAAATGAAGATTATTTCCCCAAAATATTTGTAAAATTATTCCAAACTGTACTTAGCTAGCATTCCTTTATTGATAGATTTCAAGGTTTGGAGCTGTGTTCGGACACCTATAGCCCTCTTTTAAAGGTGAAGCAGTACTGGGTTTTGTCTGCACAGTGGTCAGTCAGTGTGGGCTGTAGGTTGCACCTGCCTCTAGGCCTTCACTGGCTGCCTTTCCTTCAGGAGACCTCATTTTAAAGTTGCTTCAAAATTTCCCAGGCTTGAGGAAGGGCTCTTATTTTGCAGCATGTGTTTTCTGTATATCTGTGATCTTGCCTGCTGCAAGTTTTGGGGACATAGACAGAAACATCTGGCAGCAGTGGTTTTTTCTGTTTGCCCTGGCTGCTCCCAGTCTCTCCTGTGGCCAGGCCAGCAACAGATGGAGACAATAGATGATGAACTAAGCAGGTGTGCTGTCAGATCTGATCAGAGCTTGCTGATTGCCTGGGGTATCTGTTTCTTGACACTTTCATTGCTTCTGCACAAAGGATTGGAAGATGGATGTTTTCCTAGGGTGACTTTTCTGTGGCAGCCACAATTGCAGCCCTCAGAGGGGCAGAACTGGCCTTCACAGCTGTCAGCAGATGAACAAGAGATGGTGCTCATTGTACCCTCTCCACATTAAGACGTCATCTTTACTGTTAAAATCATTAAACATTCTAATTTATGGTATATGAAGGCATATTGACCACAAGTGATTTCTCTGTGTTAAGGCATTTGTTTAGATGAAATACAGGAAGAGATCCAGATCCCATCTGGCTTTAATCAGCATAGCCCTGCTGGAGAATCAATAGTCCAGACAAGGAACTGGCTGAGGTGAGAATATAAATAAAGGGTGATGAAAGGTTTGCACTGCCAACTGTCCGGTCTGTCTGTTAGTGTGGAGTAGAAAAGTCAGCAGTGCTAAATATTTGGCTTCAGTGTTTCTTTTGTTTGTGTTTTCTTTGCAGAGAGAGGAACAAACATCTCAAGGATGAACGTGACATATTTTTGCAGGTAACCAACTATTAATTTCAAACCCGGTGTTGAGCAGACACGTATGAGAACAGCTTCAAAAGGAGGAGAGCAGAAGGCTGTGCAGGAGATAGACTTTCATGGCACTTAAATCTTACCCTGTTCTCAATTTGTATTGTCTTTTCTCACTTGAAAATAAGATTTTTAAAATTTGCTAAACAATTTTAAGAGCTACATGTTGAGAATTATAAAGTGGGAGCTATCTGAAGAGAGATGAATGCATTTTAGAAGAAACAAAGGATGCAATCATAAAAGGATGAAATAACCTAAAAATTGAACAATTAAATTGTGTTAATTTACCCAGTCAATAGTCAGTAATATCCTGACACATTTATACAACAGTACAATAACTAGTGTACCTGAATCAGTACCTGAGTACCTCAGTACTTGAGACTGGGGTAAGAGCAGATCCTATTAACTTTTTTAAGCAGCAGTAAAGTATGGACCCCTAAGATGTTCTAGAAGTACCCTGGTGTAAGAAGACTAACTTGTGTTCTTATATTTGCTTGTGTTCTTAGTCCTACAAGAAGCTGCTTGTGTAAAAAAAAAAATAAATTACCCATTTACTTTTTTTTCATGACATTGTGCTGTTTTCTTTACAAAGCAGATGCATTTCTGCAGGATCTGGAGTTCTCTGTTCTGATTATTTATCAATTGGAATTCTGAAGCATTTATACCTCTAGGATTTTCTTCTACATTTTTTTCTTTCATTTACATTGCATTATTTAAGTATTTGGAATGAAGGTAGTTAACCATAACAAGAAGCTAATCAGTAAGAGGTATTCTGTATTTCTGCAGAAATGCAAAACAACTGTTCCAAAAGCCAGCTGGAAGCAAAGATCAGGATCTATCATTGGGAAATATATAGAGGGCAAGATGCTGCCAAACAGGTAGGAACTTTTTTTCATGTGTTCCCTGTTTGAGTATAATGAGGCTTAGAGAAAGATGTGGAATGCTTCCTTTCTGATACTTTTGAATTTTTCAAAGTGTGTGTTTCTAAAGTGTCTGTCACGATAAGATTACTGAGCTCATTAAGAAATTTCAAAACGAAGAGCCAAATTTCAACATAAAACAAGTGTGCTGTCTGCAAAGGAAAGAGATTTCCCCACCGTAGAAGGCTGTAGGCTGTAGGGAGACACAAAAACTTGCCCATGAGCCTCTGTTAATGTGGTACAATTTTGAGTCTCCACTTGGACTTTTTTTTAATCCATATTGAACAAACTCATGCCCCTCCTATCTACTAGAGAGAGAATCAGATTGCACATAGAAAGGATCTCTCCTGGGGAAGTTCCTTTATTCCTCCAGAATAGGAGTGAAGGTGGGAAACAAGAAAGTCACAGTAGAGAAGTTTACTTTAGCTCTTCTATGAGGTTAGAATTAATGTTAATCTAATATTTTCCATTCTGGTTCAGGTTTCTCCTGTAAGTTACTAGCTTTCCCCATGATGCTTATAATTATCAATATATGTACACATGGTATGATGAGCGGACTTTTCAGCAGACACTGGAATAACTCTCCTCTGCCTGCCGTGACTAGTCAAAAAAAAGGGAGATTAAATTCAGTTATTCAGATTAAATTCAAAATAGAATAGCAGGTCCATTATATTTTTGTGATTTACTTTCTTTTTTTCTCTGTCTAGCCATTCATTTGAAGAAGATGATATTTTCAGTAACTCAAAGAGAAGGAATTCTGCTGGACTGAATGGAGTTCTCTCTGAAGACCCTGATGCTGGAGTCACTGGAGGAATGCCTAAAACATCACATCTCCAAAGAATAATATCAATTGAGGAAGACCACCTACCTCAGCTTCTTGACAGGCTGGTTGATAAGCAGCTGAGCAGATGGACTGGAGAAGATGAAAATACTTTTGAGACAGAAATTAATAACAAAGCCAGGGAACAATCAATGGAACACTCATCATCATCTTCTAGAGAGCAGCCTGTAGGGAAGGAAACACTGTCAAATGTAAGAGGACAAAGGAGGTCTCACCTTGAGTAGAGTGTGAAGTTCTGGGCCCTATGATTTAAGGAGAATGTGAAGGTCCTTGGATGCATCCAGAGGAGGGCACAAAGCTGGTGGGAGGGCTGGAAAATGTCCTCTGAGGAGTGGCTGAGGGTTTGGGTTTGTCCAGTTTGCAAAAACAAGCTGAGGGACAGCTCCTTTACTCTGCAGCTTCCTGAGGAAGGGAAGGGGAGAGGGAGGTGCTGATCCCTTCTCCCCGAGATCCAGCAATAGGATGTGTGGGGATAGTTCAAAGCTGCCTCATGGGAGGTGCAGGCTTGATATTAGGAAGCATTTCTTTAGTAAGAGGGTGGTCAGACACAGGAATGGACTTCCTAGGGAAGTGGTCTATGCCACAAGTCTGTCAGTGTTTAAGAGGCTTTTTGATAATGCCCTTCATAACATGCTTTAACTTTTGGTCTGCCCTGAAGTGGTCAGGGAGTTGGATTACATTTCTGTAGGTCCCAGCGTACTGGAATTCTTCTGTTGTATTCTATTCTGAAAGACCTTGGATGCTGTGAAGTGGTGTCAAAGGTTAACACATTATTCCTAGAATCTAAAATTACTTAGTTTTCTGTCTTTAAGTTGAAGCATGACAAATTAAGCTATTGCATGAAGTGGAGGATGAAAATGTACTGCAGACAAGCGCTGAGGGTGCAAAGAAGGGAAACGCAACCTAAAAGAGTGGTAACTGTAGACAATGTATGCATAGATTTACATTTGAAGGACTGTATAGGGAAAGTGAAATTAAGTGCTGTAATAGATGATAAAAGAAGATCCAATGGAAGGCAGAAATATTCTTAAAAAAAACCCAAGTGTTTTTTTAAAAAATTGGTTGTTTGGCTTTGTTGTTTTTTTTAGCCACAAAGTGGTATTTCTCATATTCTGGTACTTTAAGTCAGCTATGGTAGCTGTTACATTATCTGAGAAATAATGAGAGGATTATCATTACTTTTAATTATTATTGGAAATACTTTTCTTTAGAAAATCAAAATCATGTATTTTTTCAGCTCTAGCTTGCATATGCGTGTTAGCAATGGATTCACCATTCAATAATAATCCTTAGAACGGTATGCTGGAAGGTACATTCCTTTGGAGTCTAAAGTTCTTTTTGCACTGCTATTGCTTCAGAGCTAGCTGTGCTTGTTTTCTAATTTTAGAATCATTGTTAAGGATTGCTCATTTTTAGATTCTTGAAGCACATATTAAAAAGATTAAAGTATAGGAAAAATTGGTTTGCTTGGTCATAATTATATGGTTCTTTTAGAAGAAGCAAGCATATCTTAAAATTTATGATAGAATTATGCCATGGTTACATAATAATTTCTAAGTGGTACCTTTTAATAAGACATTGAGGGCACAGAAGAAGCTTCACATTCTGAAATTGTTTAATTCAGTGCATGCTTTTTGCTTGCTGTATGACTTATTTTGTGTCACATTTTCAAAGCATGGCATCACTGGACTTTAGGATGATGAAAGCCAAATAGATCATCCTATCCAGCTAGGACAAGCCTGGAGGAATATATTCAATACCTGAAGGAGCCCTAATGGCGATTAAAGCAGGATTTTCTGTTCAAAACTTCTGCATGAGATTCACTTTTGATACGGAGTATGAAATATTATATTTATACCTGTAATCTCCCACATTTGTGTTAAATTGTACAAAAGATAGGTGTGTTACTTTACCTGGCTACTTTTTATATAAAGACTACTCAAAAGACACATCTAGGGAAGACTCTTTCAGACTGCAGTGTAAACTAAAATAAAATTTCATCCTACTGTTATTCCTTTTTCCCATCAGTCCTTTGTTGAAGCAGACTATGGAGTAGCTTATACCCTAGCACAGTGTTCACATGCAGATTTATAATCATTATTATTAAGGTTATTTTCATGACTGGGCTTGATACATCTCGGTGAAAAATGGCTTCTTATTTTGTTGGGAACTGAGCTAAAGGCCTCTGGGGTCTCTGAGTCTTAGTGCTACTGGAGTGTGTATGACCACCAGGGACAAAGTATTTCAGGTCATGTAGTCTGTATATTTAGCTATGGTTCTCAGAAACACTGTGATAATACTGCCAAGCTGATGATTGTATGTTAGCTTGTTTTATTTCCCAGAGCACACAGACTAATAAGCTGGGAATGGTTTTCATCAGGACTGAGAATGTGCTTTGTATAAGTGCATGCGTGCTACTAGTAGCCCATAGTTGCCGTGGGGTTTAGAATTTTAATAGAAAAGAAAACAAGAAACCCCTCTATAATTGTGGTGGGCTATAAGTCCAGCTCATGAAAGAGATGTGTATTTTTTGACCCCAAAATTTACAGCATGAGTGATTTTTTTTTTTTTTTACATGAAGGGAGACAGCAGTTCAAGCCTTTTTTGTTTGGGTTTTTTCCTCCCATCAAGAGCAGCTCTCTATTTCTTCTCATTTCTCTAAGACTTCTGTATATTTGTAGAAAACACTTCCAAATGCAGACTTAAATGTCTCATTCAAAGGACTGTCAGGCAGTGAATTCAGTTCTGATGTCTTCATGAAGACATGGATCCTGCACATCAAATGACTGGCAGAGGGCCTTGCCCTCCTTGCCCTCCTTGCCCTCCTTGCCACCCACACTTTAACAAACTAGTGTAGGACCATCCATGATCTTGCTCTCCTTCTGCAGCATTGAAAGCAAATTTTCTATCGTCTCCCTCTTCCTCCAGCTTTACAAAAAATAGAAGAGACCACCAAGGGCACCCCCTGCAAACCAGCTGGTGCTACAGAGTGCTTCCCTAAGAACTCCTGATTTACATACAAAGAATGATGACCTACTTGATAGAGGATATAAATATTCTCTCCAGCATCCACTTAGCTTAGCCTGCAGTAAACAGAACCTGGATAAGCAGAACAAATTGTTGTTCCTTCTGCTTAAAAAGCAAAATGACAGAAACATAGCTGAATGTTTACAGCCTGATTAACTGGTCTAATTCTCTGTCTATGTCTTTCCTCTGTGCTTCTGCCTGTAATGTTAAACAAATGTAGAAATGCAGTAATTGGATGGAGGTTCTTGGCTCTATGGTAATAGCAGAGAGAAGAACCTGGTGGCATAAGCCCAAAAATTATGACTTTGCTTCTGTTATTGAGATGAAGGTGTGCTGCTTCCTCTGTGTCACTGGTATAGGATGAAGCTACTGAGCAGAGCTGTCTGAAGCTTTATAAATTTTGATTTGTGGCCATGAACATAAACTGTTTTATTTTGTCAGTTTCATGTAAAGGTTCATATTCAGTATACTTCCAGAGCTCAGTGCAAATCTCTGCATTTCAGATGATCTGAAATGATTCAGGGCAAACATCTGAAATGTTGAGTTATTTTAAGAAACAGAATATTACTTCATGAGTAATTAAGAAAATGATAGGATAAAATCGATTATTTTCCCCATATCAGCCTTAAACTGGAGAGGCGACAGGATTTATGGAAGAATTGGAGGCTAATTTTTGCTCTTACTTGAAGGAGGAGAGAATAAACTCTGTCCCAGAGCGCTTATTCAAGATCATTTTTGTGGGCAATTCGAGTGTTGGAAAGACTTCATTCTTAAGAAGATTTTGTGAAGATCGTTTCTTCCCAGGCACAGCTGCTACTGTAGGTAAGTTTAATAATATAACTATTATTATTTTTGTTTTCACAGTAGTTAACAGTTTCTACTAGGATCAGACCTTGTATTATAAAACAAAAACATACAGATGTTGTAAAAGTAGGACATGCAAAGTAACTCCTCCTAAACTGGAAAGCACATAATTGATGGAGAAGTTTCAGAGTAGATTCTGTACTGAAATTCTGGCCAGCACTGAGATAAATCAGAAAAATTTACTGATTTCTGTGAAGCTAGAATTTCCTTGTAGATCTCACAGTTCTGAAACAGATATCCTGTCCTCTGGACTTCACTGTACTAACAATCCCACCTTCATATCTCATTGCTATCCCTCTAAGTAATCTGTTTTTGTTTTAGAGAGAAAGTAGAATATCTGAATCACCTATCTGAAGATTTAGCATTATACTAATCACCAAAAAAACATGTCAGACAGGTGTTTCCAAAGCCAAAATTTTCAAAGCCTGCCTTCCTACCTTGCCTGAAGTTGTAGTCCAAGCCAGACACAAAAGTCAGACACAAAATTGTGGTACAAGAACTCAAGTATAGGTTATTGCAGTGCAGCTGGGTTAAATGACCAGATTCTTTATACTTAGCCTGTATTGAGACCTTATGTATTCTGCAGGATATATGAAATGAAACATAACAACTTCAAGGTAAGCTTAGGATGTCTTCATTTTTCACTGACTGTATCTTCATTAACTGAAATGGGAGCTTGAACACCTATCTGCAATTGTCTGTTCATGTATCCTATAAACCTGAAGGCTGTGTCCTGTCCATATTTTCATGTAGTTGGCTGATACACTTCTCAACTCTCTGAGGTTCTTACACAATGTGTACAATTTTCCAGAGGAAAAACAGAGGGATAAGGCTGAACTTTTTCCTCTTTTGGCTGGTCCTCCAGGGTTCTTCCAAAGAAAACGGCAATAAGGCGTTTGTCATAGCTTTGATTTAGTGTTCACATCAATGAGGTTCACAGGTATGGGCTATGACTGGCAAGGTACAGACAATGGAAAAGTCAAGTGAACAATACGGAGGGGAGTGTTCTCAATGGATTTTTACAGAATAGTTCAAACTTCTTCCCTTGAGATTCAAGCAATAGATCTATCCTCCATACAGTTTTTTAAATTGCCTGTTGAAGGAATGCATGCATAGATGCTTCTCCATTAATGCCACTGGTAAAAATCCCATTTTTCTGAAAAATGGCTCCAAAGATACTGTTGCTGATCTACTGAGATCCCTTCTAATCTGAATTATTCAATGATTCTGTATTTTATGATACAGTTCAATGCGATACAAAAAAAAATGTAGGTTGTGATTAGGAGGAGGTAGTGACTGATTAACTTTTTAAGCTCTAATTACTGTTATAAATATCCAGAAAATACTTACATCTCCACAGGTTAGAGGAATCAGGAGAGGACTAATTTAAAAGTTTAAATAAAATTTTTATGTCCACTAACCTAAGGGAAGTGAGCTCATCTTCTATATTATAAATAGAGGAAGAGGTTCTCCATGTGTTCAGTCCACCTATCTGCAGCATTTATCTTAGGTTCCACTGTTCCCTGTGCAATGCCTTGTATTTTTCCATTAATTGTAGAAGGCTCCCATGTGGTTAGCTCAGACTAAACTAACACATTTCACACAACTGATGTCATACAGTGAATTCCAGGCTGAATGGCTTAGACTGCTGTGGACTGTCAGATGCCCATTGACTCATGTTCTGTGATTTAGAAAGTAATTTTTTTTACAATTTTTTTACTATATGCTTTTTAGAAAGCATATTTTACAAAACTGAACTATTCTACTACCATTCAGTATTTTATTGCTGGAGGACTTCAAGCAAATAAAAGCTGCTGGTTTTTTGATAGCTGGAGACTCTGGACATAGTTTTTAATGCTGTGCCTATCTTTTTACTTTCCTGGAATTTCCAGCTGTTTGCTGGATCCAGTTTTCAGAGATCAAACAGCTTGTTAAGAGACAGCTTACCTTGCATTTCTGTTGCAGGTGTGGATTACAACGTGAGGACTGTCACGGTAGATCACACCCAGGTAGCACTGCAGCTCTGGGACACAGCTGGCCAGGAACGGTGAGGAAAGTTCTCTTGTGGTTCAACCCTGGTTGTCAGCCCAGTGTGTAGCTGCTCCCTCACTCCCCCATTTGCTGGGATGGAGGAGGGAATTGGAGGGATTGAAGTGGCAAAAGTCCTTGCTTGAAATTAAGACAGTATGATGAAATATAACTCCATGCCAGTCAAAACCCATACACATTTTAAGGTCTCACTTCCTTGAATCATGTGTTTGAAGATCATTAAATGTGGAACCTAATCCTGCTTCTTGTGAGAGGAACAAATACAGCAGCATTCCTAATAGAGCCAGTGGATTCACAGTTTAGCTCATTCTCTTGCAGCACTAATTAAGCTCTGAAAAGTTTAGTATTGCACTGTTTCTTTAGGAGGAAGACTGATTTTCAAATGCACCTAGAATTATTTCTATATCAGAAAATACCTTAATGGATAAAAAAGAGGAGTTTATTTTTTTTTTTTACTAAAGCAATATCATTGTAGTAGAACTCCAGGTTTTTGTAAGATTTCAGTGGTCATTTCCTTCCCCATCTCCTCACCTATTGTGTAATTTTCTATTACTATTTCTAAAAGCAAGGATGATAATGACAATCTGCATTTTCTACATGAAGTTTTGGAAAAAGGCCTAGCTAGCTTTAGAAGAGCACTTAGTGAGGGGGAAATTTCTGCTCCAAGCTTAAAATGAAAGAAGTGAGAGAAGGTGAGATATGCAGCTAATTATCCTGCCTAACCCAGAATCAGTTAAAAAAGGCAGGGGGAGCTTTTCCAAACACTTTCTTTAAAAAAATACTTTTTTTTTTTCCCAAATAATTTATTTGCTTTTGTATGGAAGAATTGCTATAAATTTTTACTTGTCAGATTGTTGCTTCTGTTGAAGAGAGCTGTAACCAAGATTCTTACTTGTAGGTACCGAAGCATTACCAAGCAGTTTTTCAGAAAAGCTGATGGTGTCATTGTGATGTATGATATAACAGCAAAAGACACATTCACAGCTGTCAAGCAGTGGCTGATAAGTATTGAGGTAACTTGGCATAACTTGAAATCCAAAACCTGGTGTTAATTTCTACCTTCTTCTGAACAAGGGCTGTTACCAAGGTAAAACAGAGAGCGCCATATTTCTTGTGTTGTCACAATTATATTTTTGCTTGTGAGTTCAGTCTGCACTGTTGCCAGTGAAGTTGTTTTTCATCTCTGTTTCTACAGAAAAAAATCTTAGTTCTGGGGTTTTAAGGACTTTGAATGAGTGGTGGGAAAATCCCAGCATGGAGTCCTGTGATTTCTCACAAAGAGAGCTTAGCTGAGGACCCCCACTGGATCACTGCTAGCATTGAGATGTGTTTTGAATCAATGATGGTGATCTGGTGATCACTGATGATCACTGACATTTGATAACCAAATATGTAGCTTGTGGAAAATAGATTATATTGTGAACATAAGCCATAAACTTAGAGCTATGTAATCCACTGTAGTGCAGTGAAACTGCCTCGTGAAAGACAGTTCAGTTTCCTGGGGATCATCCTTTCAACCACTTGAAAGGAAAATTGTAGTCCATGCCACTGAGTGACATCAGTCAGTTAAAAAATTAAAACATATGTAAGAGCATAAGCAATGGAATCTGCTTATGGCCAGAACAGAGTAAGAGCAGCTGCCACAAAGGGCTGACTTGTGGCAAGAATGAAGTGTGACTTCCTCTTTGCACACTGAAAAAGTAAGGGACAAATCAATCTGCAAAGATCATTTAGTCTGATTTTATTGGGCATGTGCTCTAGTATAACACATATCGTTTTCCAGAATGGCCAGGAGGTGGCTTTGGGAGTTCAGATTAGGACTCAGTCATTTAAATGCCTCCAGTCATAGTTATTCCAGATATGAGTAGCCTTACTGAAGTACTATTAGCATGCATTTGGGAAGAACAGGCCCTTGCTAATTATATTATCTTAATAAATTAGTGGCATGCTTTAATTCAGCATGGTAAAAGCTAGAGGAGCATGGCTGATTTTGATTCAGAAAAATGGAATATTGTGGTCAAAACTTTTTTCCAAGCTCCAATAGTTCACTCTTCTTTACTAACTAATTTTTGTTGCAAACTGTTGCTAAATTGGACATACTGCCAAGTCCCTTTACTGCTGTAGCATTCAGCCCACCTAATGAAAGCACTCACTGTGATAATTATAACCCTTTTCAGAATGGATTTTGATTTCTTTCTATTCTGTGTATTTTTGGGGGCCTATTCTGTGTATTTCTTCACTATTTTGTGTAATTCATTTGGCATAATAGTACCCAGGTGTTGCCATTATTTTTCCTGGCCATGTAATTAGAAAAGCAGTGGCTGTAAACACATAATATCTGAGCCTGTGTAGCATGGTGGTTTTCTCTCTCCCATTTTAATATAAAGTCTAATGAGCTTCTGTGCTGTTATTTAAAAAAAATCCCTAATCAGTGTAATCTTAGCGTTATGTCTTTTTCATGTCTTTTATCCAGCTTCAATACCTGACATGTTTGTAAGCAAAGTGGCACATACCTAGTTTGTGTGATGTCTTAAATGTCTTGTTAGAGTGTGACATTTGTTAGCTTTAATCCTCTTCATCTGTGATCTTTTGAATTCAGTATTTCAGTTGATATTTACTGTTTATTCTGCAGGAGGCAACTGGGGAGAATATGCCTGTTCTTTTGCTGGGTAACAAAACCGATAACGAAAAGGAGCGCGAGGTCCCGATGGGAATGGGAGACCATCTTGCAAAGGTACTGTACTTTGGGAACTCCTTACTAGGCTTGAAGGTGAAGGTTTTAAAATGGAGTTTCAATGTGTTTAAATTTGTAGAAACACAGATCAGTCTTAGTCAGACAGATATCTTTAAGTATTTGGAACCCCGTCACACTCTTCAATTCAGATTTCAGTGATGTAAGTTCTGATGATTATAGTATTTACAACACTGCTGAGATAAAGAGAACACCCTAAAACCAAACAAATCAAGTAAAAACCCCTAAACCAAACCAAAAAATGAGTGGAGAAGAAAATATTTAAGAACTCACTCTCATTGTGTCTCCTCTCTCTTTGTTCTTTTTCTCTATTTTTTTCCCTTGCTGCTTCTTTTCTCTCTCTTTTTAACTCCCTTTCCCCAGTGAAAGGATTCTTAACATAGAGATAATCTGGGGACCTTTTCTCCCTCCTACCTCCTGTAAAACCAAAGAAGACCATCTGTTACTCCTGTGGTAGGAGTAGAAAACATGTTTACTTTTAGTAACTTTCCATCAAGGAGATAAAATAAGTAGAGTTAACAGTCTGAGAGCACTGGTGATCCATGGGCATAATTTAAGCAATCAAGAGACTGCAAATACCAGATACTTGTTTATATTCCTGTGTACCATGCCTATCAATTTTTCCTTTGAATGTCTTTATACAGTGCTTATAGTTTGAACATGAATGCCTGCAGAGTATTCATTTATTTAGAAGTAAGTAATTGAAATATTGCTGAAATATTCACTGAGCTGGTAGGAATATACCTAGATTAAACACTGTGCTGGATTTCATATATTTACCTCTTTTGCCTTTGAAAATAGATTTGCTGCCAGTAATAAAAAGTGTATTTTCAAAATCTGAAGTGCAGCTGAATTGTTCTTCCAGGAAAGAAGAATTGTTCTTCCAGGTGCTGTTAGGCACCTTTCTGTAACTGAAAGAATTAGGGCCAGATCTCTTTTTACCTTATTTTGATTATTCACAAAGCCTTTTGAAATTATACCTCCCTATTCAGGTTTGTGTCCGTTATTTGGTTTTTGTCAGAGAGGATTATCAGCCTTGAACTTTATCCCCCAAAGGACCTCCCTTTAGGAAATCAGCTCTATTTTCTTGTGTGCATGGAAATGCAGATAACTTTGAGACCCTGGAAGCTAGGAAGGATTCAGGGTGTAACACTGAATCCTGTGAAAAAACAAGTGACACGTAACTGCTAAATGGACAGAGAGTAGGTGTCTTGCATGTCATCTTGCTCTAAAAAAACTACTAGTAAAGCAAAGATGAATCATTCCAGTATATAGAGCTCACAGCCCACCAGGCTATTAATTCTAACATGTCATGCAAGAAAATAAAATGTTTTGCATAAGTAAAACAAAAAGTTGTCAAATAAGATAGTTATAATCAAATGAATGGATCTGAATGATTCACTTGAATGTTTGAATGTGCTGCCTGAGGTAGTTGAGAGAAGGAGTGATTAATGGCAATAGATTAGTTGAAAAGTAGCATAGATATAATTAAATTATAATAATTTGCTTGCTGAGCTAATAATAACCATGAATTTTAATGAAATATTAATTCTTGCTAAATGGCCGTGTAATTCCAGTGAAACCACATACCATGTCTCTGTTAGTGTATGCAGCTGCGTTACTTATTTTGTGAATAATCCCATGAATTACTCAGGAATGATCCCAAGTACACAGGGCTAGGTGCTGAGCTGATGCTAATTTGTATAGCCATATTTGGTGAAAGCAAGCTCTTCTTGTGCAAAGAATCAGTTTAGCCTGTTGGCCCTGAAGTCCGGCAGTTTTAAGGACTGTTTCCATGTCTCACAGGATGGGGTTGGTTTTACCCAGTTTTTTCTATAGTCAGAAAGGGACATAACTTCTCTGCAAGTTGGGCAGCACAATTAATTTTTAAAAGTAATAATGGCAGCCTGAAGGGAGTCATTTGTCATTTGAGAAGACTTGTAGTTCCAGTGCGTTTGTTATACCCCGTGAAAAGGAAGCATGGAATGAGCACAGGGATTGTGGAAGTCCATTTGACTTGTTTTAGCAGAGGATCCAGAAGGAACACTCCATATAAAAATTTTCTCTTTAGCTTAGCTTGATTCAGTGATCAAGGGCTCATATGAACATAACAAGAGAGAGTATTTAGATCATATTGTGAGTGTCCAGGAACAGCCAATGCTTTGTTTGAGTACGGAAGTGTAAGCAGTGCCAATTATTTCAATGAAATACCTTATGATAAAGGTGCTGCTCAGGCATGCTTATAATCCGCATGATTTTATTTTTGCCCTGCACACACTTCCTGAGTGATCTTAAATGGGTCAATAAAGCCTTCTCTATTGCTGTTCCCCAGCTATAAAACAAGATAATAATGCCTTGTCTGCCTTGGCTTTGCAGAGTATATGTGCTTCATGGAATGAGGATTGTTTCTGTGTATTCATAGTTTCTACTTTGTCAACTTGTCAGTGCCATTCTTACACAAATACTGCTAATGAGGCAGCTATTCTGAGAGTGATGCTACTTTACAGGACAGAAAATTGCCCATCTCTCTCTGGTAATAATTCATTTTCCTCCCTATTCTTTAGATGTCTGCTGATTTGTAGGTAAGTTTTTAAAATGAAGTAATTGCCAGTGGTCTCCAAGGTTCAGTAGCTGCTTCCTGGATGGAGATGGATGGCATTTCCTAGTTCAATAATTATATGTGTCCTGCCTGTTCTTAGTTTGTGAGCCTTGTGTTTTCTATCAATTAAAATTTCCTCTTTGAATCAGGGAAATGGCATGTTGTATTTTCAGACCCTCACCTTTCAGACAAGAACCTTTTTGCTAGACTGAGAGAATTAAGCACTCATTATTAATTGGGTTTAAATTGTTATCTTTCCATCCAAGCATGTTGTTGAAAAATCCATTCAGATTTATGCCAGCATAAATGAAGTTATCACTGAGAGTTCTCCTCTGGTGATACTCTGTTGTGTGTAGAGAAGATGTTGGAGTGGTATCACTCTCAGCTTGACTGACATGAAATACCTATTAACTGACCACAGTAGGTTTTCCATAAGATTTCTGATCAGCAGAGCAGAAAAAGTGAGTGTAATTTTGATTTCAAGCTTCTGTTTGCATAGCTAGCAAGAAATTTGACCTGGTCAAATTTTATCTTAAAACTTTTCTAAGAAAAGCAAGAGAATCATAGGGTTGCATTATTGCAAATGTTATATATGTTTAAAAAAATGATAAAATGTCTATTCAACACTAACATTGCCTGATTTCTTACTTCTCTGCTTTTCTGTGCTTATCTGGTCATCAAGAAATTATTGCATGTTGTTCAATTCTGTTTTTCATTGGAACAAACAATATAACCATTGACTACATGTACAAAACTGACATTGGGTAACTCTAAAGCACTTTTATTAAAGCTGCTATAAAATAAACGATTGTATTTATGAAATTCTTTTCCCCACTTTTTGTCTCTGAAATTCCACAAAGGTGACAAAAATTTCCAAAAGCTGTGCAATTCTGGAAGCACAGTATATAGAGAAAAAAGAAATCAAACCAAAACAGAAATACCGGGTCATCTTAATGGAAAGTTTTGAAAACTGAATTATAAGCGTCTTCTGAAGAGTGGTTAAATAAGTATAAGTGCAGTAACCATAGTTAATAACAAATAAATGAAACTCTGCAGACGTGATTGTAATTTTCTAAGGTACTGACTTACTTGCTTGAATTTTAAGCTACTGCTATAAATAGCAATAAGACACAGAGACAAGTGGAAAGTGCATAGAAATTTGAAATCTGGATGGGTGAAAGGACAGGTAGTAATACCACAGAGGCAGTGTAGGTGACCTTCATTGTAGTAGGTTGTGAAAGTCAACAGATGTCAATTTTGGAGGATAATCTGTCATTCCCTTTCAAACTTCTCTGCCTTCAGAGCTGCCAGGTCAGGCTCTTGTGCAGATGATCTCTTGCCTTTGGATTTATAAGACTTCAGCTGAAGGGCTGAGAATCTCTCCCAAGACTTGATCATTTACCCCCTATTCCTAATTACAAAGCTCCCAGGGGAGTACAAAACTGAAAGATGCAGGCTGACTGCAAAAGAAGGTGCAGAAAAAATTCACAAGTACAAAAAGATGAAAGAAGAGTTACTGGGATTCTTTTCACCTGCTTTGTCCAGCACTCAGTGATGTGGGAATTGCTTGATCATCACAAGGGAAGGTCACAAGACTTAGTACCTTACTAGATCTGTTTTCAAGTGAGCTCTTATATCAAAAGCTATTCTACAGAAAAAATATCTGCTAAGAGAAGCATATAGTTGTTATTTGTGAGGCACACTTGGACTTCTTTTGTTACCCTTTACTGTTAGCTCTAGAATTAAAATTCTAAGATAATCTATTTCTCCTTCTTTATTTTCATATTTCAGTATATCTGTGTTGCTCTTTTTACAGCTGGGGTGAGACATTGTGCAAAAGTAATTGAAATGGTTTTTCTCTTTTATTGTAGGATTACAATTTAATTTTCTATGAATGCAGTGCATATTCTGGGTACAATGTGGAAAATTCTGTGCTTCACTTAGCTAGGTAAGACGAAAACACTAACAATGAGTTTTTTATATGCCTGACTGCCCTGTAAATGATGACACTGTGAATTCTCTTTGTTTAATTAGTTTTATGTTATATTATATTAATATTATATAGTATATATTATATAATTGTGTATTATATAATTGTATATTATATAATATATATGAATATTAGTTTTATATTTATTCGTTATAGAAATTCAGGGCGATGAAATATTTGTTGCCTTTCAACTGCTCTGTTGCCTGACCCTGTTGCTCTGACTGAGAGTTGCTCAGGTTCCTAAAGAGTTATGCTGGTGAAACTCTGTATAGATTCAGAAACATCTGGATTGTTGCTAGGAAAGCTGAGGGTCTTGGCTGTGATAATTCTTGCAAGAATTTCCTGAAGGTTTGGAGAAATATACTTGAAAATGGATGCTGCTGACTCCTTGCAGCAGGACACTGGATATACTTCCTTCTTCCCTCTGCTCATTACAGCTCAAATTCTGCTGTCTGCCTAGGGGCTGGGAGATAGGAAGAAGTGGATTTTTGAAGTTATGTAAAGGCTAGAGGTAAAGATACAGGAAAATATGGCCTCTCTGAACTACTTACAGAGGTGAAGACACACTGGTAACGAGTTGGCAAATCTCTAATATTGTTGCTGAAATCAGTGAAATTTTGTGAAAGTGTCAGTAATTGGTGAATGTCTAGGCAGCCAGATTTGTTTTAGTTTTGTTCCAGCCTTCAAAGTAAGAAATGAAAGTCACTGTTTTGAGTCTGTGTAATATGCAATAAATGTTAACAATCAGCACTAACTAAATTTTTCTAACTAAATGAACAAAAGCAGCTGTGTGATGGGGCCACCATAATTGTACTTTTTTTTTTGTTTGTTAGTTCACAAAATTTTGTCATCTTCTGTTAAATCTCTGGACAGTTTTCTACTCTTGGGAAAATGGTTTTTTGTTCAATCTCTTGTGGGTTTTATTGACTTTTTTTCTCACAAATATTCTTTCTTTTCTCCAGGATTTTAAAAGAACATGAAGACAAAGTGAAAGAGAAAACCATCGAACTTCAATCTGATACAAACAAAAAGTCATGCTGTATGAAGCAATAAAATGCTGAGGCATGTTTAAACAAGTCATATATTTATACAACACTACCTGGCACTATCAGACTTGCTTTTATCTTCCAAATATTTCTTCTGATGTGTTCTGACTGTAGGTGTAAGTGAAAGTCAAAATCTTGATATGACCTGATCTTGCTTTTATAAATACTATCTTTAGTTAATTGACAGTTTATTTGGGGCATTAACAGTCTTTTATTCTGTTTGATGCCTAACACCACTGTATCCTGCTTTGTCATCAGGCTTGTAGAAGCTGCCACATTATTGATAAGAAGAAATAATTTTATAAGAAGAAAACTATTTTGAATATGAAGTAAATTCCTACTTGTGTGAATAACCCATCCTCTGAATACTGCTTATTTCATTTCTGTTCAGACTCTTAGATCCTGATTTTGTGCTAAGCTCTCTCTACAATTTTTTAAAAATTTCCATAGGTGTAGTTGTTTGTAGTTCAAAACATGTTAAGGCTAACTGACCAGCTCTTTGTCTCCGAAAGCCTGTCACAGGAGGTGTCATAGAAAATTTTGGAGGTAGAATTTTCAGAAACAGTGGATCTCATTTTCAGGAATAGCAGCATTTAATGAGTAAAAAATCTCACTGAAATTCGGTGAGATATTACTCTTTTAGCAATGCTAAGAAAAAATGCCTCCTCATGTAGCTAAACATGTGACTGCTTTTTCAAAAGCTGCTGCCACACAACATTCCTCCAGGGTCTGATAGCACTGAGACATAGTTTACCGATGGGGATGCATTTTAGAAAATCATGGCCCACCGTGGATCATAAGAAACGCAGATGTCAATTATCTTTGGAAGCTTTTGTGGAATATAAATGGAAATAAGAAACTTGAGAGTGCGTCACCCAGACACCACATGATCAGCAATTATTCCTGGTGAGGTATGTCTTGACTGCATCCAGCTATTGTGGTAAGCATTCAAGAGCAAGTATTCACAATGGTGAGCTTGTTGGGAAAGTGGAAGCCATGGCATAATTTATTTCATTAAAATATACATAAAAGATGGTGGATTTCATTATATAAAACTGTTACCAACATTATGTTTTTAATCAATTTTCTAAATGTTTTTAAAAAGTTATTTTTCATTTAACTAATGAATCAATTTGAAACTAAAGATGAATGTTAAGCATTAGCTTAGTAAGTAAATCTGTTTTTGGATAAAAACTTTGTCAGTAATTAATTGTGCTCTTGGGATTTCAGTCTGATCAAAGGTGTTCATCTAGTTCCAAGAACTGGACAATAGGGGTTTATAGACTTTGCCCTACAGCAATTTTTATATCCATACCAGCACTCAAATGCCCTTTCTTATGAGTTTGGGTCCAAATGTGACCCCTTCCTTATCAGGTAGTATAACCAGGGGTTTACTTCTATCAGGAATGATGGATGAACCAAATAGCCCAGTATAAGCTGTATTAAGAGTTTTTCCCTTGTTAATTCCTGGGAGTCTGCTCATCCAAATGAAAAAAACTCCCCTTGCCTTCAGTGAGGTGCCTAAGAAGCTCTAAAAAACTAAATGAGCAAAATGAGTGTCCATTACTGAAAATCAATAGGTTTTCTTTTCACTGCCCAGGGTTGCTTCTTGAAGTCCATTACTGGTTGTGGAGAAGTTGAGCCACCTTATTGACTGTGGCATATTATCAATCATGGAAATCTTAGAATTGAACATCTGCGTTCAGTCCTGACTGGAGCTGAACTAATGCAAACCATTAATTTAAACATCAACAAAACCAACACTTTATCCCAATTTCAGCTAGGAAAAAAGTGTCATCAGTTTAAATATTGGCTCTGCTAATTGACTTTGAGTGATCTGTTCCCCCATTGGTATTGGAACCAGCAATATTTCCTCCAGCCTCTGTCAGCCTCAGGAAGACAGTTTGAGTCCTTAATTTCAGCTTTACTGTCCATGATTCTAACCCCACAAATTCAGATCCTCAATTTCTTTTTCCCTGAAGTTCATCTTGATTTTGAAGGACAGTGACAAGTGAAGTGGATTTTCTTTCTGTGACTCCCATGGGATCATTTTTATTTGGGTGTCTTTTAGCATTCACTGAGACCCTGCCAGCAGGATGTACACAATTTGAGAGCAGACAATGCTCTCAAAGCAGCTGAATCCTGGAATGAGGGATATTTCTCCTTCTACAGAAAAATCTGGTGCAGTCTAGCACCCAGGCAATGTCTTCCATCTAGCATTGATAGCTGTGGCTGCTGCTGATCCTCTTTGGAAGTCCAGCCAAATCACAAGCAAAAGTGCAGGTACACACACAGCACCAACGTCATCAGCCACACAGACAACACAGAGATTGATGTCTTCACTGCTTGTCACCCATATATACACAAGCAGCGTTCCTATAAATAGGAACACAAATAACCTAATCCTCCTCTTCCTTTCCAGCAGATCAAGACTGAAGTTTGCTGATGAAAATGTGCATGTACACAACTCCTCTGACTTGCAGTGCTCTCTTTCTCCTACTCTGCCCTACACTTCTCCCCAGGATCAAGCAGAAAATAAGGTTTAAGGAAAAGACTGGATGTCCTGCAGCTATAGGGTACAAGGCTCATTCAGATTAAATCTGACCAGCAGCTTGCCTGCATATAACTGGTCTCTTATTTTCTACCTTCTCTTGATTTTTTCGAAGCTTATTCTCCTTCCATCTACCCTGACCGCCCCCCCCCGCTTCTCTGTCCTTCATATCCCAAACAAACAACTTGTCCCTAGTTGCCTTTTCCCTGTTAGTCCCAGGCTTTCTACATCTGTACGCACATACATATTTCTTCTACCATTTCCTAAGTCACCTTGACTTTACGTGCTGTTATTGATACAGTCACTGAGGTGCTGCTGGCCTTGCAAGTTCCCACTCCCAAAGGAGTCCCAACTATTTCCCTCCAATTATCTGTGAAGTTAATGTGTAACTCCCTCTTATCCACCTGGGAAGTCCAGGCATGGCTCACAGTGCCGTCCATAACAGCTTTCAGCTTCTCACTCTGTTATTTGCAGTGTTCAAAGCAGCTTGTGTCATGTCCAGGGTTTCTCATGGTCTGTTTGGTTATCTAAACCTCAGGTCAGGGCTTATTCACCTGTTGGCACACCTGAACAAACAGCAGTTACTGGTGGACTCATGCTCACTGAAGGCAGGCATGAATAAGATGCTACAAGGCTCTACTCCTGGACAGATTCTGCTGTCCAGCTGGCCATGAAATTGGTGTGGGAATTGTCATGTTCCCACATTCCTTGATGCTGGGTTGCTCTCTTCTGACACTGCAGCAGTGTTTTATATCTCCTGGCAGTATATTTCTCAGCTCTTCAGAAAGTTAGTAATGGCTTAACAGTAGTGAAGCATCTTTTTCCTCTTTTTTTCCCCCCATTTTTCCATTTCAATTCTCCCAGTTTATATCTGCCTGGTCAGGTACCCAATACTGACAGATCTTTGGATGTGCACAATACAAAGTCCATTTGCATGGATATAACACAGTGCTCCTAACCCTTTGGAAGTGGATGTCCATTAATTACTGTGTGCCAGTCGAAACAGGTTCCAGTTTGCCCAGATATGAATGGAGCAACAGTGGAAAAAATCCTTCCTGAGAGAAGTGTACAACATCTCCTCACATACCAGATTTAAGGAGTGATCTGCAGCGGTTAAAATGGGAATGCTCCACACACAAGGAATATGTGAGGAACAGACCACACGGAAGCAAGTTTGCCTCTGAAAGGACTGCAGTCAGTCACACCCCATACTGGAGCAGGGACAAATGAGGAACAGGACAACTGGCATCCAAAAGCCAAGGACAATTGGAACCATTGGGTTTGAATGGCTGAAACTATATTATTTGGGGTGGCAGGAAGCATTACACCCAGCCCCACAACTTCCTGTGCTGCCAGTTGGCTCCCTGGACAAATTCTGACAGACAGAGTTAACCTCATAGTGAAAAAAAAAGAAGCTGAAACTCAGGAGCAGAGGAGAGAGAAAAAGTGTACATGAATACATTTGTCTAATGGTTTACACTCTTTTTCTTTCCCCAGAACCTCAATCATCGATAAAAGATTTGTGTACTTTGGTAGTAAATTAACTCAAGTAAAATTTGCCAACTTGGGACCATTTTTGTTTGCAGCATCCATATACTGTCAGAATTTTCTACCATGTGAGATCATTTTGGAATAATTCCACTTTATCATCTGCACAAGTGGAAGCTTGTTTTAGAAAGCAGAAACACGCTCATAAAGCTCATCAGTGGCAACTTCCTGAATTCATCCACAGCTGTTAAAATAATGGGTCTTTTCTGATTATTGAAATTAGCGGAATTGCAATAGGACTCACATACACTTCTGGAAAAAGGAGAGAGTTGGGCACTTTGGCCTGTTCACACATCAGACAACTGAAGTTCTTTTAATATGAAGCTAGTAAAATGCACATGGTTATTGTCTGATGAAAATGGGCTTCTCAAAGGGGAAAAAAACCCAGTAGGTTAACTTTACAGGGCATGTATAAAAGTTCATTTCTATTACTAATCTGAAATACTGTATGCAGTGACACTGAATCCTTCCAAATGTACTAGAATTTGAAGGACACTGGATTAGTCAGAGAAACATTGCTTATTTCCTTTCAAACACTGAAGAGGGAAGTGTTTCAAACAAGTCCATCTATACTGGACAGCTGTGTTTAGCTCCTGCAGTTGTCAGTGCCTTTTCTGCCATATGCTTCTCCTGAGCACAACAATCATTACAAGAAAAAACCCAGATTCAGAGGAGCTTTCTCACTGAAATGTCTGGTTTTCATGGGTTGAACATGAAGGGAGTAGGGAATCTGTGGAACCGAGACATTTGAGTAACACGTGGCTCTGAATCTTACTCAAGCACTCCCATTACTTGAGGTGCTGTTCGTGTGTGGGTAATGAGCAGTGAAGACCCTGCTGTGTTTTGTGTGGCTGATGACATTAATGTGTTGTGTATGCCTCTACACCTTTGCAGTATGTACTCAGCTCAGGTTTTGGCTGGACTTGCAGCAGTGAAGAGCAGCAGCCACAGCTACCATCCCTCTGTGACATACTGTGTTGTGCCTGCTGTTTTGTCTTGTATCATCTTTGCCTCCCGTTGTGAGACCCATATTTTTTTTGCTCAGAGGATACATAATATGCTTTTTTAGGTCTTGTGTCACTGTATCTGGCTTAAGCTTTTTTTCTTTTCTGTCTTCTTAATGACCTCCTTGTAAACACCAGTCTGCCTATTTGCAGGATTCAGTGCTGCTGCAACATGACACTAAAATATTACCTTTTCACAGCAAGTCAAGTCTATGAATCAAGGATGTGAATATTGCTGTGACTCTATAGCTGCGGTTAAAGCTCAGGTGCTTCTCTTTTCAGAGGGTAGACCACTGGGTAGGTTTGCAACTCTCCATTCCTGCCAGTTGTTGCTCCTCCATTTTACCTTTGGCAAGTTGTTAGAACCCTGCAACAAGCCATTTTGGGCCTTGGCAGAATCTCAAGGAGAAAAATAGTACAGAAAAGAAGAAAAAGACAGAATTCTCTCCTGTGTTAGTGAGCTGAACTAGCCCAGCAAAATCTGACAAATACCACAGTTAGTGGGAGGATATGGGCGGAAAACACGGCTAAGATCACAGTTTTGAGAAAAGAAGTCTAGAGGGGTGGGCAGCCCATTTTCAGTACCAAGAAGGTGTTTAATTGTCTTACCTCTTTTTAACCTCATCTTTAACTGTTAATAAATGGAACTGGATGTGAACCCTATTTCTCAGGCAGTCTGGGGAGCTCAGTATTGCTGAAGCCAAACGCCAGTTTGGGTGCCTCTGATGGGGGCTGGAAAGCCTCCGGACTAGCAGTGCATAGCTCAGAGGTAAGGAAGGCTCTCAGCTGCAAAACTCAGATGCCTCCCCTGAGAGCCTGAGTGAACCGCTCAGTTTCTGCATGGCCTTCTCCCAGTTCTTACAGGTGCAAATGACTGAACTGCATTGAACCGCACTACTTGACAGCTTTGAACAAGGTCCTTTGAATCTAGGCTATTAAGGCTCATCAGTTGTCATAGCAACCCTGTATTGTATGGATTTATATTATGAGGCTGTAATAAGGCTGTTGCTCATCCCTCTGAAATGAGGCATAAATCACTAATGCAGTTTTTCAGTGACAGGACTTCTTTAAGTATTATTCTGACAGAGAAA